TGGGAAAAGTCACCAAGGTACGCAAGGACACGAACAATAGACCCATCAATGCCCTCCTCGAACTTCATCAAACTCACCAACGGCCTGCGCAAACGCACATCAAGCATCTACATCCAATTCTGCACCCGCCATATCCCCCTGAACTACCATCTGCATTGAATCAACAAGAGTGACACTCCGCACTGTCCCATATGCCCAGGAATCGATGAGACAATACACCACTACCTTTTCGACTGCCCACAGTACAGATGCAAATGCCACACATTCGCAAACGCGGTCAGACGCAACGCAACATCCATCACGCACATACTCACATCAGAGAAAACAACACCCCATCTAATCCGCTTCATAAATAGTACCGGCCGCTTCAAATCAACATTCTGTTACGAACTAGGATAAAGTAGAGCGATTGTAACACATTCGGTGAGCTGTAAACTCTGTATAAGAAAACATACTAGCAAAACATATAGTTATACCATACATCACTCCGCAACATAATCCCCACTATACTCTTCGTCGAAAGGAAAGACGCCACTTCGTGGCATCACTGTCGGAAACAAAGAGGACACGTCAGTAACGAAGATAATACTAACCCAAGCAACAGTAGCCAACACCAGACGAACACCAAAGACCACATCACAGACTAAGCGCTACACCCATCTAGTACCTTCACACTGACCCATCCTCTTCCCGCAGCTGTCCTTTTGTACCTGCTCCCACCATGTGACAGAGTACGAGTCCGAACTGACCCACCCTTTTAATTTTGCCCTATAACACACAGAAAGCTTATGACGAGAACATGTCCAACATAGGGTCTATGACCCCAAAGGACACAATCTGAAGCAAAAGAAAAAAAAAAAAACCACCTAGCACCATTGTTCCATAGACTCGGCCATGGTGATGATCAGGCAGGTGATTGCAGGCGGACTGTCATGATCGTAGTTTTTGCAGCTTCTACGCAGTTTAGATAAGACATATCCTATCATTTAAAAAATGTTGCAACACATTATAACTTTACTGGAAACACAAAAGCTTTGTAAATGCTAGCCATGTTGGTGATGGCCAGACAAGTAATTACAAGCTGGCTATCATAATTGTAGTTTTTGCAGCTTCTATGTAATTTAGATGAAACATATGTCACTATTTAAAAAATGCTACAATGTATTATAAATCTACTGGAAATGTGACGACCTGTAGTCATTCAACTACAGTGTATGGACATGCAGTTATCTCACTGTTGTCTGCTTCCAAGACATACATCCAGATGGTATTTCTCTGGTATAGTCATATCTTATTTCACCTATGTGTGACACTATGATAAAAATATCTAAGGCTAAAAAATGATGTACAATAATGTGTTTTAATTACCAATTCTGTCTGGTAATATCAATTTTGGGTTGATTCCCTGATGAAGGTACTCTCACCCAGCTACCTCCAGTCTGCATGAGGTACATTCACGGTGTGCGCATGTAGAGTCGACTCTGGATGGGGAGTTGGTGGCATTAGGTATGGATGAAGTAGACTTTTGAGTGGGGATCTCTTTCTCTCAGCTGCAAAGGTGCATGTATTGTATGTTTTTATACTACTTCATCATGCTAACTGATCATTTTTAGTAACTTATGATTACTCTTGTGCATACCACCACTCGCGCCCTCTCATTCTTCCCATCTCATCCCTCCTTCCACTCCTTCCACTGTTCTGGTGTGTTCCAGTGTCCTCCACATATGTTTGAGCCACATTAGCATTTGCTGATGTGTGCTCAGCACTGGTCTTCATAGTGACCTGCGGGTATACTCTCCATCCTTGCCACCCAGCTACCTCTGTCCTCATCATCCAAGCAAGACCATCAATGACAACATATCACCACAGATGGTCTCAAACAGTTACCTTCTTGCCCATCTCATCGCTTGCGAGTCGCAATGATGAAGTCCACAAATGGCAGGATATGATATTGGAGGTTCAGGTATGTGGCTCATCACACGCTATTATCATCTTATTGTTTTATCTACTCATAAATCATCAAGTCGGTTATTGATGGTATCTGCTGATTGTTAGAAGCATCTTGATTAGGAGAAGGTGTGTGTGTGGCCATTTGATTGTTGCTATAGCCTTAGATTATAACCGGTGTTGTACTTGACAAAAGTACTCGAAATATATTGCAGTATATCTAACCCTACATTCGGTCTTAGCAAATAAAATTCATGTTCCACCTCGCTAGCTACTGTGGCTGACGATGTTGACAAATGTTATCTTCCAGCCGCTGGCTGCTTTGAGCTACTCAGACCTTCGGGCGTCCTGACCTCGGACGGCTTGTCAAATAAGGCTGTCCTCAGCCTGGCAAGTCCCGCAGTGGCAACATTAAGTACTCGGACTAGCCCTGCAGACGCTGAGCAGCTACTCAAAACAAGCGTATTCCAATTTGAAAATTCTACCTTCTTTCAAGGCAAAACAATAGTTCTCTGCCAATTTACCAAACCGCCCCCTTATACCTTTTGGCTTTCACCTGCATCGCACCGAGCCCAACGCGCAGTTGCTTTGCCGAGTTCATACATCACTGAAAACCAAGATCTATGATAAACCCTTATATACACATTATAATCCCAACAATGTCTATAATCGTATAAAATATGGCAGTGCAGAAGCCATAGTCTTGTATAGAAATATATTGTTATCCCTTGCGACCAATCTTTATCATGATTACCTGTGCCCGGCATTAGTTGAATGAATTTGGCTGTGTAAAAACTCAAACAGATTGATAAACACGCTAAATTCTGAAAACAAGATATATATGTGTAGAACACTATCCCCTATGACCAATAATTATCAAAATGGTTTTCATTTGGCATTGGCTGCATGAATCATGTTGTGACAATACTAAAACTGTACTGAAGTGATGATGCATGTTCGAAAAAGTGTCTCTCATTTAGCATTTCTAGCACAGCGGCTCTCCTGTCCAATAAGTAAAAGAGATAGAAATTCTTGCCATCTGTACCATCATATGGACAATTGCTTCATTGGCATCATGGTATTGCGGGTTTTATACTTGATTGGCCAGGAAGTCACATTGGGTTGTATAGGATTATACAGAGACACTCGGTACAATACATGTAGTTTATCAATGCCTCGCCAATTCTCTACCCTAATCTCATCATCAACACCATCTGCAGGAACAATAACATGGGTTGAACCACAACATATATTGTTAGTGCCTTGAAGTCCAATGAAAGCAAGGTGTCGCGGCAACTTGACACTATTGTTTCCTTATGCAGGGATTTGCACTGCTCAAGTGGTTGACTGAGTTTGGCGGTGCCGGTGTACAATCAAGCTCGGCGGTGCCAGTATAGGATCGAGTTTGGCGGTATATAATCGAACTCGTGGTACCATAGGATGTAACAGGATCGAGTTCAGCCATAGAATCGAGTTTTTGGCCATGGAATCGCAGGGATCAAATCCAGATATGAGATTGAGTTCAGCCATATCATCAAAGACCAGTCATCCTTAGACAGAAACATAGACCACGACATGACATATCCTGTTACCAGACCCTGTAGTACAGTGCGACTTTCTGGATGGCATCCTGTCGAGAAACTTGCAGGAAGTAGCGTTAATGAGTGATTGAAGGCAGAGTAGGTGATAGTGGGGATTGAAAATAAAGTCTGAGTCGGATCCTTACTTATCAATGACCGGAAGATATGCTCGGCCGGTGGTGACTGAGGTCTTGACCCTTCCCAAGGGAGTTGTACATCGTTCGTTTTGAGATCCGGTGGTCAAACTATTTCAGAATAGGAAAAGAGAAGGAGCAGGGTCGGAGCCGGGTAAGGTTGCGAGCTTCGGTTGCAGACAGCTAAAACCAACAGAGATCCGACTCGGATATCAACGGCAGTTTCGAGTATCGGTCGAGGATGAATGGCTAATGTTGACTATGAAGAAAGGCCAAAATGCAGAATGGGTTTCAAGTAGGATTAAGGGATCATCCAGACCACCATTCACTACTGCCCGATCCCAACAACCGCCAGTGCTTAGCGCACATGCCCAGCGCATGTCAGCAAATGCTGACATGGCTTGAACATATGCGAACCACACCGGAAGGCACCAGAATGAGAGGAGTGGAGGAGGGCGAGAAGGAGATGAGGGAGAGGTAAGTTTATGTCTTGGGTGCCTATGGAAATGAGGTAGTTAGCAGCATAAAAATGCACAATACATATCACACGCACCTCTGCAGCTTAGAGAAAGGTACCCACAATCCCTCGGCCGCGTTCAACACCATCAATCTCCAGTAAAATGTCACAGCTCATTCCAAGCACCACATCCCTTCGAGCTTTTGACAGACCGGCAGTGCCTGTTCAAGAAATCGGCTCAATGTCGAGTAAGACATGTTAGGACCTCATAAGCGAAGAAGGATGGCACTGACCGCGTCTTGAGATGAATTGTTGAATCAGAAAATACGACAATGACGAGCAAATGTAGCGAAGCCATGGAGGACGAGTGCGACTCACAGTGGTGTGTGTGAGTTTTGTGTGTCTAGAATTTTTGGATAGATCCAGCGCCATATACGTTGAGCGTATGCCTACAGCATCGATGTCTTCCTATCATTCTGCACTGCTATATAGTATTAAGCAATTATCACGCATGAATGCAAAAAACTATACCACCGGCTTAGAATTCGACATACTGTTAGAATAATATGTCGAACACGACAAACAAGCTCATGGATCAGGAAAATGATGCTTGATAAGTAGGCCAATACATGGGTATATAAGGACAACACAGATTTCGCCAACCTTATAAGGTAAATATTGTCATACCGGGTTATCCGGTTTTCAGTGATGTACCACGCCGCTCAGGCATCATCTTCGCCTCCCTGCCCATGTTCATGAAGTTGAAATACAACGCCCATCCTTTGTCTAGTAGGACCAACGCGTGGAAAAACCTATCGCTTTCTAGGGAAGGTTAGGAATGATGTAATCAAAAAGATTTCTGTGAGTCGAAATCAATATTGAATGTACCAGTGGGATAAGGCTGATATCGTACGCAAGCGCTTGAACTTGAAGGATTCACGCAGCCGGCGTGGCGCTGTTCTCTCAAACGGCGATCGCGCAGGCTCGCCGATTCCGAATATCAAGGTAGGTGACATTCCGATTTCAGCTCTTTGTCTAACTTTGGCTGCACGGGTTCAGGATGCTTCTGCTGGTGTCAAACAAGGTGCCGATCTTCAATCTGCGGACAAGGCACTTCGGGATGCCGGTCATGCTGCAGATCAGATTAATCCACTTTGTGGACCTGCGAGATCCGTAGTGTCCGCAGGCAAAAATGCATCAGCAGCGCTCGATGATATAGACAGTATAGAGGCCACCTATCTTTAACCCTTCAGGATATTCGACGCTGATCAGGACGATCGCAGAGGTATGATCTCTCTCTTCCTCTTTAGAACTAGACTAATACCGTTCTGCAGGTACATCCGTATGCAAAAATGGCATTGGGCGTGCTATCTTGCTCATCAATAGTACGTTTTCCTCACCGTTATTCATATTTCCTGCTCAATTGCTCTGCATGCAGATAATTCTTGCTCAAGCGGATCGCGACGAAGCGATACTCGACCTCTACAAGAAGTTGGGTCAAGTGTATGGCTTCGTGGTGCAAAACGACACGCTTCGCCGGATTGGTATCTCAGCAGACCCTAGAATGCGTTTCATTCAGGATTATTCGGAGAAGACAAACCTTTGTGAGTCTCTCCAACGAGTCGTTGGATTTGGACGTGCCTCTGACTTGACGTCCATTCATACTTCTACAGACGAAATAGTGGAGTTCAGTGGTATGGCTTATGCGGAGGCCGCAGGGCTAGAAATTATGAAGCGATGCCTGCCAGGGACGCGCACGGACATTCTCTCCGACATCATGGGATGGACCAACGGCAGTAGAGATGATATTCCACGCGTGCTATGGCTATCCGGCCCTGCCGGAACAGGTAAATCAGCCATTGGCCCCACGATCGCTAGCTCGTTCATTGGCGTGGGTGGACTCGGTTCTTGTCATTGCTTCGACCGAGACACGGATGATCGCCATAAAAAAAGTTTCCTCCACTATCGCGCGCGACCTGGTTGACTGTCATCCCGAGATGAGACGAGCGTTACCGGATGCAGTCCAGAACGCAAATGCGCTCTCTTTCGTATCGCTTCGAGTGATGGAACACGGACTTTCCTTCAATATCTGCGATCTAAAATCATCCTATCTCCCCAATTCCGAAGATCCCGGGCTGCTAGACCGAGTTGAAAAATTTATCCCTCCACATCTATCCTATGCCTGTCGATTTTGGCCTGACCACGTACAAGCAACTCACTTCGATCCAGACCTCGCCAAAGAAACAAAATCACTCTTCGAGCACGAGCGACTGTTCTTCTGGCTCGAGGTACTCAGCCTTATCAATGCACTGAGCGGCGTAGTCACCACTCTCCCGCTTATTGCCAAGTGGTCGAAGGTGAGTACATTATTATTGAGTATTCTATAAAATGCTCGCTCAAACGCAATCACAATTTCAGGGTCACGCTGGATATGAAGATGCCTCGTCTGCTGCAGTGGACGTGCAGAGATTTATCTAAGTCTTCGGATGCCTCATTTTGCACAGCACGCCACATCTCTATGTAAAAAATGTTTGGTCTTGTTTCTGCAACATTTTCGGCATACTTCGTTGACCATGTATTAACCAACCAAAATTTGACCTCATGCCTTAGTACCGTCTACAACATACATGGCACATATGTATGACTTGTTCAGCTCCAAACTGGAGGCATCATACAGTCGCGGCTTAGAAGTCAGCACGGGTGCCAATGGTTCGGGAGTAACAAGAAGTACTAGCCGTCTGCGAGACGTACAAGCTCTCCAATTGTCCTTCCTCCCTACCCACAGTTGACCCCTTGCTCTGCGCATTTGTCTGTCCACCCATATCGTTTTCATACCAGCTCGTATCACAGTAAGTTTTTTTAATTCCTTTTTCTATGTACATACATGCTGACGAGTCTCGGTGTCTTTCCTCAGTCATCGCGTGCCACGTTAGCTTGCTCCTTCTCGTTGCTCGCGGTCAAGCGACTCAGTGGTGACAGGTTCAATGTAGTTGAACGAGGAGGGAGAGAATGTCGTGGTTAATACGCAGTGCTCATCCTTGCTTCAACACTGGGCAAATACCCGTCATCGTATTGGTATGTTTGAAACTCCAATCAGATGGCTTGCGACTCATCATTTACGTCCTGCAGGTCATACAATAGTCCCAGGAACTATTCCCGTGGGCACTCTCCTCTACCATGGAGCTATCACCGGTCCCCATTTACCGACCGCCTTGGATTGGGTGGCTGTAGAGCCAGACTACTCCATACTTTTCTGTCAAGGGCCAATCGAAACAGGGTGCTGGCACCTCACCCTTGCAGTCACTCGGCCAATGAAAGTGCTCTATTTTGAGGGAAGCAGCGCTGCAAAAATCCCTGAGGGCACTATGGACACCCAAGATCTCGTGGCATGGTCGGAAATGAAGCCCGAGTGGGTGTGGAATGAAGAGCGGCGCATAAAGGATCTGTGTAAATGGGGTCAGAAGCATGGCGTGAATGGCTTTGTGAGGTTCGTTGGATGTTGAGATGCGTGCGCGTGAATGTCTGATGCTGATTTATGAGTCATAGGATGCAAATGAATTTGTGCGAATCCATATGTAACTCCTTGGTGATTTGTTATTGACGACGGTCATAGCGAAATCATGATCTGCGACTTCACCTCTCACATGGAAGTTATTTCATTCTTAAATCTCGAGAGCATTCGTATCGGCATCGACTGGCCATATCTGCCAGAGGACCCCGATAGTAGTGAGTGACTGTGTCCATATTTTGACGTAGGTCTGATTTATTCTCGGACATCAGTGCGTCACCGTTTTGAATTAGTGCATTCTGCGTCATGGCGCGAAAATTATCCAGGAGAAACCCGGATTATGCTTGATTTTTCTGAACTCGTCTCTTTCTACGACACCGCTCTTGTTCCCTCCTTAGTGCCGCGCCGTGCAGGCTTAGACCGGTGGGATCACCGAGTGGCAGGAATATCACCGGAGGATATAGAGCGCGTCCAAGACAGGCTAGCTCAAGCGTTAGCACGACCACCCGTGACCACTAGCGGCATTGACTGGAAAACGGTCTTGCGCGTGGTGGTCGGTCGATATGCCAGCCGCCTGGAGTTCATACAGCACCTTCTGAAACTGTCGTTGGACGATGGGTCGATCTTTGACCACGCACAACAAATTCAGAGACAGTTGCGCACCGTGCTTTTGCCCTACACTGTGTTTGCACCTCTGCCTCCCAATACCTCCGTCACCGCCAACGCGACAAATTCGTGGGCTGCGCCAGTTTTTCGGGAATGTGCTACGTCGCACGCGGCATCCATAGCGTCTCGTGGAACAACATTGACGCCCTCTGAACATTTGCTCCTGCAGGCGGTGCGGGAAACTACGCATGAAATATGTCGCGTCGTCACGAAGATGTGGGCTTCCGGAATGAATTTTGGAGTCGACGTCTTTTATCCTCCGGAACGACGCCCTGAAGTTGATCACATACATACTCTCACGGGCGAATGGAAGGAGGATGTGACGCAGTTAATCTCCTGGTTGAACTGGAGCGTGTGGGTGAACTGCCGACCGGCCTGTGGTTTCGAGGTAACACAATCAAGTTACTTGTTTGCGAAACACCTCCCGACGATGTCACTTTCTTGCACCCGATGCACAAGATCTACCTCCAATTATCCAAATTCCTGGTGTAGCGATTCGCCTTAATGAAACTGCACTCGTTCGACAAGATTTCAACGCCTCTGGCAACGCGTGAGTTTTGTCACAGTCGAGTCAAAACACTAGTACTTAAAATGGCAATCGTGCTACTTCTTTTCAGCGCTAATTCTAGTTGCAGGAATGCCGTGCCACTCAATCCAATCGCTACCCACCACCTCAAACTTCTGCTGCAGTGATAAAGGGACTGCCATATTCTGAGTCTCTTTGCCATAATGGAACTCTGCCACGTGCTGCGTATGTCCCATAGCCAGATTGGCAGCCTCCGCCAGCGAATCGGAGTCCTTCGACTGGTAGGATAGAAACTTCCTCTGCAGTGCTTTAGCGAACTGACGGTGTAGCCTCATGCTGAAGGGGACCTTTAAGTGCTTCATGAACCAAGATCGCAACATAAGAGACATGCGTTCAGAATTCCATGGCTGCCCCATTGTCGTGAAGAGGCGGGTTCGATAGAGGTCTGCGATCTCCTGAGCACGGCTTGGCGAACTGCATTGGAATTGTAGGGTGGCCACCAATTCAATGGGGCGTACACTCCCAAGTAGAATTGTCACGGCTTGAGCTACCTGGTAGGGAATAACCCGAATGATTGTCTTGTAGATCCCGGTGATGGAGGATGTCTTGTTATAATTACTTTTGGTTACCAGCGTCTGAAGTGCATGTGAGACAAAAAGATGCCTTGCTGACTCTGGTCCATTGGCATGTTGCCACAGCTCTTCTTCGGCGCCTCTTGCCGGAAGAGCTAAGAGGTGCATGAGGATATACACATACTCCCACGCCATGCACACATTGGCCAGCCACTGGTTCAATAGTACGGTATCCCAGCTGATTGTTTGGCTAGTCTCATCCAAGTGACACAGAGTCCCAAGCTCTAAAAGTGAACGCAGTAGTGATGATGATGCAGCTCCTGCGCCAGAATCCCCCAAATCGTCGGAGTCAAGGGATAATGAAAAAAGTCCATAGCCCCGTGTGAGCTCATCCTGCTGGTCATCAGGTAGCTGCAAGCTGAAGTCGGGGAGGGAGATGTTGAACAGAACCTTGGAATGAATGTGGGCAAGACAGTCTCTAAGGGTTGACTGGACGGCAGAGCGGTACTGGTCGATGTTAACGGTGTAGTTAAGAAGCCTGACGGATTGAATGCCGTCCCGTTCCAGCCATGTGACCATTCCTTTAGTTGGAGTCTTGCGGACAATCCAGCTCAAGGATTTGACCCACTCCCGCACAAAGCCAAAAGGAGTGTTTTTCATTTCAGTTCCCCATTCATCAATAATCTTTTCACAATATCTTGGTGGGTCACGTTAGTTCTATTTTACGTATGAGAAAGAAGAACATACTCTTCAAAGTCATTCCCCGGATTGTTGAGCCCCCGCCTTAAGATACCTGACCGGCGCCCCTTGGCAGGCTGATTGGACTCAATGGTATCGTCAGACTCGGAGGCGATTGCCACGATATAGGCCGCGAACTGTCTTTGCAAAAAGTCCAGGATGAAGAGCCTGATATCGAACTGCGTGCGGACTGTGGTGTACGTGATGTGCTCTGGATTTATGAATCCCCCTTCGGGATGAACAGCACGCAGGCACACAAACGCTGCCACGGGGTTGATGTACCGGTCTTGAAACATGTCTAAGGTGTTTGACGGCATATACAACGTTTCTAGCACATCGTTTAGAGTGCTGAGAAGGTCATCATTGTCAGTCTTTCGCGATACCAGTTGATCTTGAAGAATGGCGAATGCCTTCAGCTGGGAGTCGGTCAGGGAAACATGGTACTGGCCACCACTATGGGAGACAGGCTTCCTGCCAGTAGGCTGAGGTCCAAAAGGGAGGGTAATATATGCTTTCTGAGATATGCATCTCATAATAAAGCAGATGAGTCGCACTTCTTCACCAGCGTAAGCCACGCGGGTGGACTGAAGCATTGGGGCATTGAATAAGTCTAGCATTGATTTCGTCTCGCTGTAGTAGAATCACTGGTGGTTAGCATTAATAAAAATATAGGATTTTGCGACTCACCTTTTGGGCTTAACCAGCAGCTTCCGGTTGACTAAATTTGCCGATGCAACTTCGTCACATAGAACACCAATACGACATACAATCGCCTTCTGGAGCTTTTTTAGGTGTTTTTCTCCTTTAGCAGGAAGTGCGACCAGGTCATGCAGTGCTGATGCCTGATACAGTGAGATATGGCCTAGCGCGCCAATGTGCTCGAAAAATGGCAGCACTGCCTTTTTGACCAATTTTGAGGTGTGCGCGCCTATTGGTATAAATCGTTGAAGTTGCATCGCTAAGATAGATTTGCCACTAGTCTTCTGAAGATTCTGGCTGGCCTTGCCATCCTCCTCTCCGATTGGAAAATAAAGATGCCTGGTAGGATCATGGTCAAATGCTTGAACTTTGACGCTAACACATCGATCTGCAACACGGGTAGCGAGTGTAGGATCACCATGTAATGGCCAATGGTGGCTAAAATGACGGGAAGTATTGCCCTGGAGCCACGTATATTCACATAGGTTGCATTTTTTGCCGTCCACTGCGTCTCTAATGTGTTTTATCGGCCCCTGCTGATTGGCTAATGGTCGAATAGCACGGAGTTCGGCTTGTGTGAGGATAACATTGGGAAAGACCCTTAGTATGTCAGCATAAACGTTCTGAATTGTCGGTTTAAATTTGGTTGCTCCGGAATGTTGAAAAACTGCCACAGAATGCCGCGCACGAGCTGATGGGACATTGCCGACTGTGTAGCAATGGCTGGACAGCTGAACAAGTGGTATTCCATATCCGCAATATTTTCCGTCATGGAAATGTCGGCAGACAATGATGTCGTAGTCTTCAAGGTAAGCGCAACCAATCTTTTGAAGAACCTCATGGTGGTTGAGGTTATTGGCTGCTGGAGCTGCATGTGGGTCAAACTGCGGCCCAAAGCTCTCGATGACTCCCACAGCACTAGAAGAAGATATCAGCCAGCAGAAGTGAGTGCAGGATGTAAATAGGTGGCTTACCCCCCAGGGGGGAAGATTCGGTGATTTTTTGTCCTTCCTGGAATCCGAAGAATGTCAATACCGAATTGGAGGAGCCTCAGCACTTCATCATCTGGATGGCACCAGTTGGAAGGTGGAGGGACTGGAATGGAGGGTGTGTATTTCGTAACGTATTTAGGTCGCTGTGGGAGGGCCGGAGTGGATAGTTTGGCCTTGGGAGGGCTAACCTCACCCTTTGCTGCGGCCGTTGATGACCGGGTAGACCGGGTAGATGGAACATGAGTTGGTTTCTCTTTCTGGCTGGAGGGAAGTATCTCAGTCGTAGCAGTTACTGTCAAAGGCTGCGCAGATGGGGCTGGTCCAGATGGGTCATCTGAGTCTTCGCCTGATGAAACGTCAGCAAGCTGTTCGGTGAAGTCCTCTCCCTCCAAGTCTTCCCCAACAGCTGGGTCATCAATGACCAAACTGTGCATATCCGTGATGATGTCCTCAACATCCAAGTCAATGTCTTCAGCCTGTAAATCTACAAACTATCAGGGCTGTCACAGCCGCCATGCAAAAATAGCCAAGTACCAAGTAAGATCAACTCTACATCTGGTCCAATCCTGCCGGTAGCATCAGGAAGCTCCATCTCCTCTCCTTCATCGTCAGCATCATCATCACTGTCTGCTCCAGCATCTTCGCCGTCATCCCCTACAATAAGGCTGCTGGAGTGACCAACTGATGATGCAATGCCAGAGGCTACTAGAATAGAAGAAACAAGTCACATTTTCTATCCAACTGAATGAGATGTCAGATCCAGTTACCTGAGGTAGTGCCAGTCATAGAAGTCGTTAGCACTCCAGTGAGTCGGTCAATGGTAGATTTTTCAAAGGTGTTACACTCATTGTCGACACTATGTACAGCCATGAAGTCAGTCAAATCCCAACCAACAAAAAACAGTTGCGTACATATAGACAACTAGATCTCCTTCATAGATTCCAGCCATAATTGAACATATTTTAAAACCAGAATTGGCTACCATTTGAGTATGACATGTCCGCAGCATTGATATTCCGAAATGAAATGTTCTTTGAGGTTCCAATATAAGTGCATTGCGCAAGTAGTAAAGGTAGGTTGGCTTACGGCCCTAAAGCTTGCTCTATCGCCTTGCTAGCTTGATCTGATGCCATTTTCTAAGTTACGGGTTGTTCAAAGCTTTGGATGATAGTACTAGTGTCAAGTTGACTGGTGTAATTGTCACAGGTTGTGCTCACGTGCAACCACATCAAATCGTTATCAACAATACATGAGGTAAAATCAATCAGCAAGTATTTTCTACTCTTCGCTAATATTGTAGATCAAGTATAAATATAAATTTTGCTCGAGAGAGACCATTTCTAGTCAACCAACGGGGTGACTCAGGTGCAAATGAACGTGCCATAAGTTGTCCAGGCAGCGCTAATCCCAATAATCCCATCAGCGCGCAAGATCCGATGGGCGGCTTCACATGATCAAACTTACATGATAGAACCAGAGTACCAAGGGGAGTTGCAAAGAGATGTCGGGGGAGCACAGTATGTGGGATACGAAACCTCAATGACCGACATTGGTGCGGCGTTAGCTATACATAGCGTGTCAGTTAATCAATTACTTATACACAAGGAGACTGGGTACCGACCGGCAAAAGTAAGACCAAAACCGATAAGGAATCGAGCACCAATGAACGGGCTCACGGACTGAGAGGCAGTCTGTATGGCAGTAGCAATGCACATAATTGTTGCACCAAAGAACAGCATCTTACGACGTCCTATACTGTCTGATACATAAGGGGTAAATGCATAGCCTGCTAGGCCACCACTGCGTGGTCCATTATCAATAAAGATCATCAGCGCAGGTACAAAAGAAACTTACCTGAATGGTGTTCAAGAGACCTAGTTTACCGCCAGATGGATAGCCAAAGGCGGACTCCCACTGAGGAAAGGACTGCAGTCCATTCATCATACTGCCGTCGTACCCCGTACATTTCGGCCAGAGCTATCTATGAGGTGCGATCTAAAACCGCCTCAGCATATCACTGGCTGACACCTCACTGCCCTCGGCTTGATCGCATACATGCCCCTCAATGATGGGAGCAGGCATATCGACCTTATTTCTTCTCCCGAAAGGCACGAAATTGCTGGCTAAGCTAGCAAGTGTACTAGTAGCGGATGGTGGGCTCGAGAAATTGCTAGACGCCAATGGAGAGGAGCGAGGGACACGGTGTGACATAGTCCAGCGTCTGTTGAGAAAGATACTGGTCATCCCTTCGGACAACGAGCCTTGTGGAGACGGCGGTCCTTTAATGGCTGAATATGTGTGTGGAGGAGATATTGAGGATAAATCATGTCCTGTCAGTGCGGAAGTAGCTGCTGCTTTCACAGCAGTGGGGGAAGCAGAGACAGATGCAAGTGGCGGAAGCCGCACCGCAGAGAGCCTAGAGGACGAGGAGCCACGAGATGCACGCGAACTGAGATGCAGTGGAGATGGTATCAATGGAGATGGTATGTGTGGAGCATGAGTTAATGAGGCAGGCTATCGCGCATTCAAATCAACTTGCGTTGGCGGCGAAGGAGGTGGTGGTGGTGGCAAAGGGGTAGTAGGGGGAGCTACTGCTCCCGAGGTGCATCTGCCTTGATTAGGATGGAGATGCAGCGGATGCACAACTGTCTCAGGCCCTCAGGGTGACGACACTGAGGCGACGTATGATCAAAGAGCACAGTCGTAACAGTAAATCGATGGTGTCACCTGCCAGGGAATCCAAAACCGCCACTGCTGGGTAGCAGATGCTCAAACAGAATGGTCATCCAAGCTCCCGAGTGGAACCAGGTGACAAACTCCGTTGCAACACCGGATCGTGCATCAACTAGCCCAGACACAATTGTGTGACGTAGATTCCGTCCAAAATAGCCTTTGAAGAAGCTGGCATGTATCGAGGCGATAAGGAAAAAGTTCGATGTCTTCGCTCGTGGGGGGTGCTGAGATAAAAGTTCACTGACCGGCCAAAGTCACGAATCGACGAAGACAAGTACAAATAATTAACTAAGTTTGGATTACCTTAACATAACATAACATAACCATGACATAAACAATAAATGTGGTAATCTCTAATACACAAGCCTGCAGGGCAAAACAGGAAAAAAGGAGGTCTGAGCAAGTTGGGGGAGGATGCTCAAGGCAAGGGGGAGGTGAGATGGAAGAAAAAATGAGTTAGAGGGGGCATTTTTGACAAAAAAGGTGCGGATGCTGCATCCGCGCGGGGATCCTGTATGATAGGCTTCAGTCTCCAGGGTGTTAGGGGATGAGGTGTACAGTGAAGGGACACATCTCATGGTTCATACTTTTGAACGCATTTTGTTTGCTTATGCTCCTCAGGTTCCCTGGTTCGAGACTCCAATAGTTTTTGACATTCGTGCAAAGCCTTGGAGTGTAGCAAGTTTGACTGGCACGAAAGGTGACGTCTGCAGCTTGCGGCACACCTGCACCCGCTTAATTTGGAATTGTAGATTTGCAAATGGTCAACATTACTTGCAGAGTTCTGTCACGGCCGGCTGTATCTACTCTGCCTCAAATATATCGTGAACTAGGAAAAGACTATGACGAGCGCGTACTACCGTCTATAGTTAACGAAGTCCTCAAGTGTGGTCGCACAGTTCAATGCGAGTCGACTTATTACACAATGTGAGATGGTGCGCAGTATTTTCACCTGCTACCCTGTTGTAAAATGACGATGGGTTATGTGTCAGGTGTCCCGGTTAATTCGCGAGAACCTGACGAATTGTGCATTGCACTTTAATGCAGTGCTAGACGATGTGTCTATCACCCATTTGGCATTTTCACCTGAGTTTACACATGCTGTCGAGGCCAAGCAGGCAAGTAATCTGGTACATATCCCATTCACCGAGGTAATTTTGCCCTACAGGTCGCTCAACAAACAGCTTTGAGGGCTGCCTTCTTGGCTGATCAGGCCATCCAAGAAAAGCAGGTAATATATCCTTGTAGTAATTATCGGTTTTTCTTAGTTCTGATGTGTCTTCTACAGTCTATTATAGTGCAAGCTCAAGGTGAGGCAAAGAGTGCTGAGCTGATTGGTGAAGCCATGCGCACGAATAAAGGATTTCTGGAGCTTTGTCGGCTTGAGGCCACAAGGGATGTCGCCAACATGCTAGCCTCCTCAGGGAATAAAGTGATGTTAGATGCTCAGAGCCTCTTGTTGAATGGTGCGTTGTCTCCTACTTTGTAACGATTGCTACTAACAGATTCTTTGTTACGCAGTGACAGGAGAGGACACAAAAGAGTTACTGAAAGTAAAGAAGTGATCCTATTACCTTGTCTGCATCTCGTCATCATTGTACTGTCACTGCTGATGAAAATGCACATGTCGACTGGTAACAGTATAACTGCAAGTCGTTGCCTTGCAAGTTACCGCTCACCATCTACAGACACGCATCAGAACGACATGAAGAGGACAAAACAAAATGGGTCTTCTAATCACCGTAAAAATGAAGTCGCTAAGAGCGCACAAAACCACGAGCAAAATCAGACAGCCGAGTCTGACACTGAAGAGAGCTTTCAGTTGCCACGAAAGAAAGTCAGATGGGAGGGTAATTCCGAATCAGTGGCAGCGGTAGCAAATATGGAGAACGGTATTTCGGAGGACGATGCAAACACATCAAAGGTGAAGTTTCTCAAAGAGTGTTGTGTCCCGTGGATCTGACCATCTAGTCAGATCTGCTTGATGATGTCTTGCCAATCGTAAGTCGTTCAATGAGTGCGTGTTTCCGATGCATATTAGCGTGTTTCCTCCAGAGGGCGCGTTGCAGGCCCATACTATGATTCTGTCAGGTGTATAGTCTATGTGCTCGAAGATACGCAAAAGGATGTTTACTTCGATCTTACGAGCATGCGTTGAGTGGAATCCTTCTCATCATTTTGCCCATCTGAACCTGTACCAGTTCTAGAACAATGCAATGCTGACATAGTGTTGACCAGCTCCAAAGCCGACGACCCGTTTATATCGGTCCTTCAGAAATTTGATATGCTCTCTATTGCCACTGCATATATGCGCAGGTACTCAACCCAATGACTCAGCTGAGGCTTCTGGAGGTGTCGCTCCCTCTTCTCTCTGAGTTGATAACCGAAGATACTGGTCAATTGTCATCCGACAGCAGTTCAGGCGCTGAGCCAAGAAACGCATATGAATTCATGCAGAAACGCAAACAGCCGGCAGGCGACCCAACTATGGAAAGATGGAACACGGCAATTAGGTTGGCCAACTATGCATCGGTGGAATCTTCTCTTTGTGTGCATCTAGATACGTGGATACGGTATTCCATCTTCTCCACCTCTCCACACATTCACACGTGCACAGGACCAAGCTGTCAAAGCCACCGAGGCGCATGCACTGGAAGCTGAATTGTGTGGACTAACTGTTCGATGTTCGTGGGGCTATACTTAAATCACCAGTGTGATCAACAGCATGGTCATGTAACATACAGACGATGCCGCCATTGGTGCACTCAAAGTATTTCGGCAATGCAACACCAATGAGTTGGTTATAAGATGTTCATTTGACACTGCCTGGTAGGCATGTGCTCACCGTGTTCAGCCACTTAGCAACGAGTAGGAGCATGGTTATCACACCCCTGATTGTACTGAGAAGGCATCATTGTGAGCATCCATATATCTAGACACTCACCTGACATATCACCCGTGTGGGCAACCGTGGCAACGGCGGGTGTGGATGAACGCGTCTGGTCATTGGCAGATGCCTCAGACTCAACGTTGGGATCCTTGTCGTGTTGACCGGAGGATGGATGTACGGTTACCTCAGACGTGGAAGGTGCATTGTGCGTTTTGCGAGGCACAGGACGAGGTTTAGGTACAGGACGCGGCTGACCGTCGACAGTAGTGGGAACGTTAGACACAGGAGGCTTGGAACCGGAAGCAGGTGTTTGTCGAATGGTAGGAGGGACGTCAGCTTCGTCAGAGACTTGGATCTCTTTTGCCTTCCCTTTGTTCCGTGGGTTCTTGAATTCCATTTCCGCGTGGTCTTCTGGATCCTCGTAATCATCGTCGTATCCCTATTACGAATGTGAGTATAGGACATTAACGGGAGATATGAGAGACGTCTTGAGCTCACCGTTGTGAATTTGTCAGCTTCACATTGTGGGAAAATGATGTCCAGTGCTTCGACATCAGTGCTGACATTGAACTTCTTATTTGGATTGTCCCACATTTCTCGAACTCGAGCTCTAGATGTGTTCAAGAACACCGCCTGCAAAAAGGAAGATTGATGTTAGCCCAAAATGGTCTCGAAGGTACGTATATGATATCAAATAACGACTGGTTCTTACCCGGAGCAAATATTCCAGGCCTATCGAAACATCTGCTGATATCAGAGCATCCGAAGAGGACGAGGACTTAGCACACGGTAGATTTGCGACATAGTTGATAAGTTTCTGGATCGCGTCCGTATGAGCTTGTTTGAGCGTGAGTCGTTCTTCAAGTTTGTGTTGCTCTTGCACAGACTCATCTTCGAGTGTATCAATGATAGCTTGAGGATCTGCCTGCTTGTCGCTGATGGTGAGCTCGTCCCACCAAGTCCATTCTGCAGTCGTCTCTAACCCGGATCGTCCAATTGTCTGCAGGGGTTGAACATACTGCGCGAGGGCCATCTCAATGAGTCTTCGGAGCGCACCGACCCACGGCTCCGACAATAGCTTTGGACGATAGCTCTGCATGTGCGTCCGCTCCAGAATGATGGCCTGCAGGGTGGGAAGCAGGTCTCGCGTATTGTTTTTGATGGACGGAGATGCCCAGTCCCAAGCTGTGACGTGCAGGCCCATAATGCCGGCAATGGTACGTGCCTCCCCTGCAATGTTCTTCGGATTGATGACGTTCCTTTGCTTTCTCTTCATCACTATGTTATGCAAAGCTTGGTACAAGACCTGCTCGTTTTCTCCCATTTTCGCGACGGCGTCATCAAATGTGCCTTTGTCCTTTGGTCGTGGTGGGAGCTGAGGTGCGATGTTGAGCATCACATTGTTCAGCCTCATGACAAACGATTTTCTGTAAGTCCATATGATTTCTGCGACCTACCATTGAACACAATGTTAGGACTTTCGTTTTTCGACGTCACGCTCGCGAATCGGGACTCACGGCCATATCTGCATCGGGTTCTACGATTCGTTGGTCCTTCACGATGTTCGACATCATGACCGTAGACCAGTCGTCCATCGTGTGCTGTCTCCCACCGATGCGACGGAAATGATCGAGCAGAGGCTCGAACCAATGACATATCTATTGTAGGGAATTTGTAAGTCTCCCAATCTTCCGATGTTCAATCGTTTTCTGTACCTCCACAATGCCAACCTGTGTCCTGATGAGATATTCCCAGATATAATTCATCATCCATGCTCCCAGGATCGGCTCTGGCGCATGTTTAGCTCCCAGCTCCGGAGTCAGGTGCAGGGTCACACGCGCGACGATCCTATCAAGACTTTTCAAGATGTCGTTACTTTTTATCTCGTCTTCGCTCTTCTTCGACAAGGACCACATGTCTCTCAAGGTGCGTATCACGCTCCCTCGATATATACTTAACGTGGTCACATATGCAGGCGTCATTTCCTCAATGATGTCTTCGTACCCCGTAAAGACTGCCTCCGCGTGTTCGTTCAAACTCCCGATAACCTCCATCCACGTCGACAGGTCGCCCTTCTCGTTCTCTTTGCAGGTCCTCATTGATTCGCGCAACGTCGCGAGTTGTTTGGTGGCTTCCTTGTTACCTTTTTCGGAGTCCCGCAGCAACCGAATGATGATGTTGTACGATGGGAACTCTTTGCGAGAAGAGAGCAATTGCAGGAGTCCGCATCGAATTTTGATTAACGTAATGTAGAGCTTGGTCAAGGTGAGCATTGACTTCGCATTTCGTATTGTATGACTCACTCCCATGCAGATCCCAATCGATGTGAACAGCCATGTCACCGTGAACTCTCGCCTTCGACGAAAATGCGGGCCTAGCTTGAGCAGCTGGGTTGCGAGCACCACGCATAACATTTCGTGGTGCAACACCTTCTGAATACGTGCGTTTTTCTTCCCGGTGGTCCGTACCTCGACGAGGGCCATGGTTGCTGCATCACGTTTCGACTCTTCTGGTGCCGCGTCGTAGGCTACTAACATCCTCTTGAACGCAGTTATTATGACCTCTTCGTCGGTCTCCCCGTACTCGGGCAATGCATTGTTGCGACTCAGATGAGTAGCCAGGTCATCGTTACCCTTCGCTAACAGTTTCCCTACAGAATCAACAAGGTCAGAGGTCCGCGTTGGGAACAGTGGCCTGGGCGGACATTCTGTGATGTCGCGTCTGCTTATACACGCGCCGGCCACTGTGGCATGCGCGGAACACACCACTCACTTTGATTATATACGACCACCCCCCATTTTCCAACACTCTCCGTGATCCCCATGATGACGCGCATATCGAACTGGACCTTGTTGTACGTGTCCATTTGGTCCGCGCTTATTTTGTCCATGGCCCTAAATTTATCCCGTTTCTTCGCCAGTACGTTGAACTCATCGTCTAGCTGTTGTTTGAATTTCACTAAGGCAGCAAGTCGGTGCTGTCCCGATGCGACCACGATAGGGTCTTTGTCGACGAGTTCGAGTTCAGGTACGTCCCCCGGATCAAGGAAATCCTTCGACAACGAGTCTGCATTTTTGATGCGTGCGATATCGATGATGATCGGAATCGCTGTCTGGTCCTTCATGGACATGATCCCATCGCGAAAAGACGTCACTAATTTGTTAGTTTCTGTTTCGTTCTCGGCCCTATCATTATAGGTCCCAAACTTCAATCTCTTGCTGAGTGCGAGTATATTGATCCATGCAACTCCCGCTTTGCATTTGCCGACCTGGGTATCCAACTTCTGCATCATCTTGGCAACATCATTGTCAAGTACCAGCGGTTCTAAGGGTCTGGTGTCGAGGTGGAGATTCGTCATTTCTCCGTCCTGATAGACGTTTGTGTTAAATTTAGGTGAGTTCTGCTTCTCTTCTTGCGCATTTTTGACTTACCTCTGCATTGGCAGTCTTGCTGCCTCCTCCTTTCGTTTTTTTGGGCATTTGTACAGATAAAATTCTTGAATGTGCGTATCGTAGGTGGTGGTAGGTCTCTGAGATGGATTCCAATCGTTATCCGGCTCCCTTCGCCCTACGCCCTTATATTCCTACTCCCTCCGACCTTCGCCTTCGCCTCGTGTCACAATTGTTCATGTCCGCGATGATCAGATTCCGATGTCACGTGATATTGTTTTTTATTCATTTTATCATGTAATATATACATATTCTAATCTATTCTTTGATATTTCCGCCCTCGCCACGGTTGTGGGGGCGGACATATGTGATTGTCATATTGAATATATAAAAATCTTAATATATATGTTGTGTCTTATATGATGTCCGCCCATGCCACCGTGGCATATGCGGATGTGGGTATATAACAAGGTGTAAAGTGTATAGTAAGTACATACTGATATATGTCGCTATACATCTATTCATACCCACATATACAAATGTTACATATGTGGGTATGAATAGATGTATAGCGACATATATCAGTATGTACTTACTATACACTTTACACCTTGTTATATACCCACATCCGCATATGCCACGGTGGCATGGGCGGACATCATATAAGACATAACATATATATTAAGATTTTTATATATTTACTGAGTCTATCGTGAATAAAGGGTTACAATACCATATCTTGAGTGCATTTTTGTGCATTGTATAATCATCATTTTTAATACATTATTTGTACAATCACCCTCAACTTTAGTTTCAGAGGCCTTAGGGTCAACAAAACCATACATTTAACCGAACCTATTTACAAATATCCTTTATAATTGTATCAAAAAAATAAACCAGTTCGTGGTCCGCCCATCGCATCAACATCTCGAATAAATTCGGAGAACAAGGAAAGCTCTTCAAGTCACGTTAAACACAAGTTTGAGTTCTTTTTCTATCTGCTCAGTGGACGTCCAACACTCAAGATTTTACAGTTTTTGCTTCCGATTCCGATTCAGATAACGGTCTTGACACGCTGCCCAGTAGTCTGAAGGGAATGTCACTCTCACCGCAGACTCAGAGATGCGCTCCACGCTCTCTGACTGTGATGCCTTCAATTAAAGATGAAGAACAGAAAGTTGACTTACAAGAAGTCTTCACAGGCCTGCAGACTCGGAATCATTCATCTGCAATGTCCATACTTAATCGACCACTCTTCCGCCCTCTCGTTTCAGTCGAACCAACAAGGAATGATATCTTGCGTGGTCACCCGGATGCTAATGATCCATTGTTGCGTCCATTCCACAACCCTTGGACAACTGACTACTTCATTGGTTCCATTAAACTTTGGCTTTAATTGTCCCATAGAATTCGAAGCTTCCTTTGATAAATATTTTATCATAATCACTTCGCACTGGCCACAACTTGGACACTACTATGCTTGACTACAATGGGCGCCCTACTACTATGGTTTCGAAAATTTCCTTTGCTGTCCCTTCACTTAGCTCTAATCCACAGTTTAATTCTCCTCGTTCCTCCATCTAATCCTCCTTCATATTACTCACCTGAAAAAAGTCGCAAAGTAAATAAAGCAATGTCAGAGGTGTGATCAGAGAACATTTTTTTACATTGTCATAAGTATACTAGTAATACATGAAGTTGCGCATATTAGGCCTTCAAACGGCTCTGAAAACACCTGAAAGTTCAGGCGGTAGAGGCAGGAGGGTGGTAGGAGACGACAAAAGGCCTTCGAACAGCTTCAAAATCACACAGGATTCTGGATCGAGGCTGGACAGGGGATGTAGGATGGCGGCGGAGGCAGGAGGGTGGTAGGAGAAGACAACAGGCCTTCGAACAGCTTCAAAATCTCACTGAGCTCTGGATTGAAGCTGGATGGCGGACATAAGATGGCGGCGGAGGCAGGAGGGTGGTAGGAGATGACGACAAGGCCTTCGAACGGCTTCAAAATCACACTGGGTTCTGAAGTTCAAAATTGACTTGTTAAAATTTAGCATTGATTTGGGTCTAGGCTACATAATCTAGATAGAAAGTGAGCAAAAACAACTGTCAAAAACATGAATGTGACAGAAGGGGAAGTGGTACTCCACTACTCAGCCTCAGGGCGGTAACGGGCCATACCGGGCATCATAGGGAGGGGGGTTGAAGCAAACCAAACAGAAAGGACGATGTACCAGTAATGACCACTTATGCAGAAGTTCGAAAGTTAGATTCGTTCGCGGGAACAACCGGAGCAAGGTTATCAGTCGGCAACACCGGCCCCTAGTATGTGAATGCATGACTGTGTGTGCGTGTGACGTGTGTCTGTATGTGTATTTTATGTGTGTGAATAGTTGAACGAATCCAGCGCCATACGGACTACCATAGTGTGACAACACAGGCTACACGAGGAAGGAGGAACAAAATGAACACTCAGCAAAGACGGGCGCATGCAGATTTAGAACTTACAAAGTGATGTCGAAACCTGCAGGCATCGGCTGGATGCCACATGTAGATTGAGCGAAATAAAATAGGACTGATAGAGCTATACTGTAACAGAAATATGTGATATTGGCGAAAGCGAAAGCGAAATTTCCTCCCATCAGCCAGACAGGTTGAGTAAGCTGAACGTACTATTCCCCGCACGCTCCAGTTCCACTTGCAACAACGGGATCTTGGGCACAGATGGAACAGCAGACTTGTTCGACTTCTTGGTATCGTCCTCAGAAGACGTCCCAGACTCTTTGATACTAGGATGGCGGTCTGCCTCCGAGTCGTCAATAAACTTCAGCACAGAACATACTAAGAACTTCAATGATTGAGCTGAGAGTGTCATCTCGGGTGGGAGATCAGGCGCTGACCAATGGTCGATGGATAGATGAACCGACAAAACAATGGATGGACGGAAGTCCACCAGACTTCAAGAATTCCGGTCCCTTGAAGCAAACGCAGAACTTGAACTAGGAGTTTCAGTTATTTAGTTGATGGTAGAGGGGAAAGGACTTAGCAGGTGGAAATAGAAGATTCTAGGAACAGCTCAGCCTCTGCATTTGGCGGGTGAGACATGAACACTATCAGGAGGCTCAAGGCTGCTTGATGAGGTAGGACAGGATGCTGGCGAGGTCGGTGAGGAATACAGTGAGCATCGCAGAGGTACGGTGTATCATACAGATGGCCAGGCGAGGGTCGAGGAAGGCTCTGCAGGAGGGTTCGGGAGGAAGGAAGGAAGGCGTACTATATTTAGAACATCCACGAGGTTGTGTCTCTTAGACCATATAATCCTAACATAATAATACTATCTGAGAGACCTCTAATAGTCCTGAGAAGTGCTGCCTGAGGTGTGAGCATGAGACAAGAAAAATAGTTATCAACAAGCAACATTGAAAACATGCATTTCTTCAATATTCGTACGTGCGGTGCCTCTGATGATTCGAGTATAGTGGGCATTAGTAGGACGAGGCGCGAGCTAGCTCAGAGAAGGTATGGTACATTGCCAGATGCGGAGGCTCTAGATGCATAGATTAATATGAGACCCTGCGTGTGACCGATGACATGAGAACGGAGATACTCGCCTGCAATCCACTATAATTTTTTCTTCCTGATCCTGGTATATTGCGCTTTGCAAATGTTGTCTTACGCTTAGAAGTGTCGATTGAGAAAGAGGATGTATCATTAATATTCTCGGCGAGGTCATCCGCGTGGATGTCCTCTGGCTCCTTACGCGTAGAAGTGTCGATTGAGAAAGAGGATATATCTTGACATTAATATTCTTGGCGAGGTCATCCGCGTGGACGTACATGTATTCTGGCTTTGGGAGGCAAAAAAAGTGAAGATGGAATGGCCGATGTGCCTCGTGAAACATGAGGAAGGCCGGAAGCAGCTGTGGGGGAATGGAATGGGCAGGTTTTTGCTGGACAGACAAATTCACAACTTTACAAGGATGCTGTTGAAAGGTTTCAAAAAACTTGACATTGGAGATATCAATGTTAACTTGGACTGTTGGTAGGCTGTGTTATATACGTAAAAGGCCAGAGCGCTTTTGACGCTCGTACAGCTGACAATCTTGCAAAATACTTGATTGTTGAGCCCAGCTTCGAAGATTTTGGCCGTCCGGTTGATTAGAAGCACCCAACTTTATGTTGTGTATGGCGCAGTTTATGTTTATTAAAGTGGCATTTGGAGTGTCATAGCCTCCTCGTGTTGACCCAGATTTTGAACATGAACATGCGGCGGCAACACAGACTGGACGAGAGTATCTGGACTTGGAGGGTTGTGAGATTGCAACAAATTTGAAGGACAATCTGCCGGTTTGCAGCTCTTGAATTGTGAAAACGCACAAATAATAAATGTGCACATAGAATGCGATGTTTTAGGCAAATCTAGTCCCAGAAGCGACCCATCCCAGGCATTACAGCCCAAGAATGCTCTGCCTGTAGTGTTAAGGACAGAGGGAGTGTCGCTCCACCTAGCGGACTCTTGAGATAAACAAGAAGCACGGCAAGGTGCACGCTAGGAAGTTGGGATAGATGGAGAGAAGGGAGGAGAGAAAGAGAATCACGAAAATCAACAGTGACCAAACAAAAGCAAATAGACGCGCAGTGCAACTCATACATATTGGGGAAGATTGGAGATGGATAGCTTGCTGTATTGAGGCACTTCTCTACCAACTGTTGTTGGGATACAACCGATCTTCCAATGTTCTGTTTGAGTCAAAGACCCTGGTCTTACTGGTCCCACAAGAGACGTCTGAGTGTTGGATGTGGCATTCTGAGGGTTTAAAACATAGATACGAGCAAATTGAGTTCGAGAATAAAACATAAACAAATCATGGCAAAGAAAAAAAGACTGAAGACTGAAGCACAGTGTTTTGTCAGCACTCGGTAGACAAAACATATGAGAACATGATATGATAGGTAGTGAGTGAATCCGCACATTTAAATATATGTGGGGGCGGGTTTCCTCATGCACATAGGTGGTTTTTTTAATGTAAAACATATTGCCAGATGGTTGAAAATGTGCGCAAATATGCTCGAATAGTATTATGTAGCAATGGAAATGTGGTACGAAAGCTCAAAAACGCATATAGTGGCTTGAAAACATGATGCGCACGGATAGCAGCTCAAAAGCACTCGAAAACATTGTAGGATATTCGTATGTCGGATAGTGCAGGGCCAAATCGTGCTGAATCTAATAGAGACATTCTTCGGAGACAAATTTGTCTCATGTATCGGAAGCGACCTAGTAGATGATGATTTGGAAGGTCCATCAAGAGAGAATCAAGGACTTACCAGTGCAGTTTCTTCCTCGTCATATTCCTATTAATCAGTGTGAATGAATCAATACAACAAGAGATTATATGACTTGCCTTTCATTTCTCCAGTACCAGATTCTTATAATAAGTACAAAATTCCTCCGTTGTCCCACTGATTTTGATTTACTTAAGTGAATGAAGAGCACATAAATTCTGCAAAGCATTAGTAAAGCCTGTCGGGGAAGTTGGATTTGGCTTCATTGGATGGGACAGACGCCTTTTCAGGTGGAACAGGTGCTTGCAATAGGCACGCAGTTGGAAGGACTCGGATGTATCTTCACAACCAGCAGCAGCCCAAGCCAGAAACGAACTGGAAGAAAGTGGGTAACACCAGTAAATAAAAGCCACATGTACCACCAACATGGGATCTAGATTGGTGCAGGCGTAGCAGTAGTTGCATGTGGTGGCTTATTCTCCTTTTCCTCAAGTGTATTGGCAGGACTAGACAGCTGGGTGATGGGACTACTGGGAATAGTGGGAGGCTTCTACATATCGAAATACAGCTATGAGTGCAAAGACTCTGAAATAATGAACATACAAATAAGCCGAAGGGCGATGTTTCTGCAAATTGTTAACACACAACATAAAGCAAGGAGAGGAGATGCAAAGAGAACAAAGGAAATTCCACTTTGCAACACAATGTTGCAAGCACAATGCGTGCAAAGAATCAGATTACATAAACAAGCATGTAACTAAAAAGGAAAATCACTTCTAAGCTTGTGACGACTCCTCCCGTCATAGTCAGTTTCACTGGGCCTGAAATCTGTGCCACCAGCAATTAAGAGACCCAGTGACAAGCATACATCACAGTTAGACATAGCAAGTATGCGCACAGAACAAGACTCGACCAGAAGAACCTAGTGCGAGAGTTGATTCAACTTGTTTGAACCAATTACTAAACCTTCCAGTGCAATTGGCAACACACAGAAGTCGGTATTTTCACAAAAATTGTATTTCTAGCTACTCCAACACAAAATTTCGAACATAGATAGAATTGCCTCACTAATACAACTCATTACAAGGTCGAACGACCTTGATTAAAGTATGATTGAATGGGATAGTTGAAAGTGCTGAAGACACACGGAGATGTCAGCTGCCTATATGCAAAAAGATAACAATGCACTTTGGCGCTGGTGTATGCTTTTGATGCGTTGACTACTCAAGTGTGTCCCTCGAACAAGTGACTATATGCGCTCTGTTTCGAATGTGTTCATCTTCGCAGAGCATAACCCAGCCAAGGCAACAAGTTCACATCATCTTGACAAGGAAAATCTGTTTTTGCCCAGGAGCTTTGCAGCCGTGGTGTAGCAGTAGAAAGAGTGAGATTTTGCTAAGATGACTGGCACTTGTCAGGGACCATGGTAGTGCAAATAAGTATGTGCATTGAAGAGGGCGAGAGTAGGGTTCATCAAGATTCCAAATCACAGGCAAGTGGAACTGTTGAACAACACTGAAGTCGGATCTAGTGTAGCGAAGCACAGACCTCCAGTTGAACATATCGTTCAACATGTGTTTGCACAACTTCAATGTCCATCTATACAAGTCTAATGGCTACAAAAGTTACAAATCCATCGACCCTGTGGAAATGGCCATGTCCGATTTTCACTGGGTCTCAAGGACCATGCAGCAGGCAAGGTCATGCTCACAAACTGATGAAGCCCTCTCCTGTATACAATGAATACTATGATTGACTGACACATTTCTGAGATAAACAACATCAGGTGGTGGGTTGCTGTGTGTCCAGGCCAAGTAGAAGAAAAGATAATGTACGGTCGAAAGCCACCTGTGTGACATAATAAGGTACAATGGAGGAATTCCACATTCCTCTTATTCCATTTTCCTTCTCCATATATAGGAATTCCTTCACTCGGCATTCCTCTTCCTTCTTCTGATTCCATTCCTCTTTCCGTCTTCTAGATCTATATTTAGCACAAAATCTAACCATTTTGATACACTTACATAACCATTTTGATCGAACCTTACCTGATATTCCTCTTCCATCAATGAGGTCATTCCTTTTCTGCTATTTAAGGACATCACTAACCCATAAAAAGAAATTCCGTCGAAGGGAATTTATGGGACCCAAAGCCAGCAACTCATATAGATATCGAACCTTACCTGATATTCCTCTTCCATCAATGAGGTCATTCCTTTTCTGCTATTTAAGGACATCACTAACCCATAAAAAGAAATTCCGTCGAAGGGAATTTATGGGACCCAAAGCCAGCAACTCATATAGATAGGGAATTTATGGGACCCAAAGCCAGCAACTCATATAGATAGGACAGAGTTTTGATTTGCTTGATTATTGCTGTGGTAGATGTGGCGGGGAACAGAGTTTTGATTTGCTTGATTGTTGCTGTTGTAGGGATTGTTGTGGGTGGTATTTGTCTGGGGCGACGTGTTGGCTGAGGTCGGAATTTGGTTTTGGCTTGACTGGATTTTGCTTGATTGTTGTATGTTTTTGCGCTTTTGTTGCTATGGTGGTCTTGGCTGGGGACAGAATTTTGTTGTTGCTCGGGCAGTGCTTGTCTTGGGTGATGCGTTGCGGTAGGTCAGAATTTGATGCAGACTTGACTTGGTTTTGCTTGATTTTTGTGATTTTTGATGATTTTGTTGCTGGGGAGTGGAGCGAGAGCGTATTGGTATTGGGGGGATTTTGTAGATTTTGCTTGACTTGGAGTTGTAGTCTGGTGGGGGGATGTTGGTCATATGACTGTATGTGGCCGAGAAATGAGACAATGAGACACCGAGACAATATGTTCCTTATCCTAAGCATTAACTGAGACAACGAGACACCGAGAGAATACGTTCCTCATCCTAAGCGAAGCTAACGAGACACCGAAACCTAAAAACTAACCGAGACACCGAACACTAAGCTAACATGGGCGGGGGATGGGGGGGACTCAAATTTATCTTGGTTGTTATCTTTGATGTCTTGCGTTGATTTAATTATGCGCTTGAATTCGTCTTGGTTGCTATCTTTGTTGCATTTCCTTGATTTGATTATGATCATGCGGTTGGTATATTTGGATACAGATGCTACATTTCCATCAAGGTTTTCTTGGTCGCTTGATTTGATGTGCGTAAAGGTGAGCGGATGATACATATTATATGTGGATGCTTCATTTTCGCAAAGATAAGGTATGAGGATGATGTGTTGACTTTGCTTTATTTCGAATTTTCTTCGCTTATGGTGATGGCAGGTTCTTGACTTCATTGTGCTATGACTATCATAATTGGGCGAGGCATTGGGCTCAGATCAGGATCTTATTTTATCTTTGCTTTATTTTAGTTATTGCTGGGGTGGCGCTTGTCTTGGTCGATGCATTGGTGGAGGTCAGAATGCTGTTTCTATTTGACTTTATTTTGCTTCATTTTTGATATTTTGTTCCTGTGGTATTCCTGGATTTTGGCTGTTTTGTTTCTGTGGTGGTATGAGATTGCATCGCTATTGTAACGCTCGTATCTTGGCATGGTAGACACTGAGCGCATTGATCGAGGTCAAAATCTCATTTTGTCTTGGATTCATCTTGCTTCATTTTTGCGATCTGATTGCTATGTTGTTGCTTGATTTCAGATGGGCGGGCCAAGGTCAGGATCTCATATTGACTTGGCATCATTTCGCTTCATTTTTGATTTTATTGCTGTGGTGTCAGTTATATTTTGCGGTGCATATGACAGGCGCTCAGACTATCAATGTCAGTATCAACAATTGAATTTTCTCCGGAAAACATAATCTTCATCGGTGTCTTAGTTATTGCTTGACTCGCCTTTATTTTTGCTGCAGGAGAGGTTGGAATTTTGTTTCTTGTTGACTTGATTTTTTGATGTTTTGTTGCTTTGGTATCGATTACTTTTGACTGGATCTTGGCATCATAATTATTGCTGCGGTGGTGATTCATGGGACTTAGAAACTGATGGGTCCAACTTTCAGAACTGGAAGTTTTGAGCGAAGAATGTACTCACAGTAAGGAGACTTCGGGACTTCGTCACTGGAGTGGAGAAACAGCCCCCTGCCACGCACCCAGATGCACTAAATGAATGGCTTGAGAACAATGAGGATGCACATGCACAGATCACACTCATGCTGAAGGACGAAGTGCTAAACGGAGTCGTATACACAACATTAGCATCTGATGCCTGCACAAAATTGTGCGAATGATATGAGGGACAGGGCAGACGAAGCATAGCCTATTTGATAGGCAAACTGTTTCGAGGACCCTTATCAGACGAATCATCCCTGGAACCTCAGCTTCATTTAATGCGACAGAAGGCACAAGTCCTAAACTCATCCAGGCAAGCTCTCAATGATTCCCTAGTAGCCATAGCTATGTTCATCTCACTCCCAACCTCCTACTCAACTCTTAGAACAATTCTAATGTCCACAAGTGACAACATCACGTTTGAAGGGACTATTAGTGAGATTCTCATTGAGGAGAAGTCATGTCGAACCCCAGATACACAAACGGCCCTAGTAGTCAAGAATGCGGACAAATCTAGAGAGAGTTCAAAGACCAACAAGAAAGGCAACCTGGCAATTGCAATTATTGCAAAAAGGCTGGCCATTTGGAAAGAGACTGTCGAAAGAAAAAGGCTGAGAAGTCCAAGAGCTGAGACAAGGAAAAGGAAGACGACAAGGACAAACCTATGACTGAATTATCAGCCAAAGTAGCAACCATCGTCAAGAGTGACACACCAGCGCTACAGTTATTCGTTGCACAAGGTCCCAGACGTGAGACAAGATCAGTCGAATGGATTGTTGACTCTGGAGCATCAGCAAGCATGTCCTACCGCAGAGACTGGTTCAAGTCATTCCGCACTATACTCCCACCTCAGTGCGTAGTCATAGAAGATGGTCACTCGATTGAAGCCACTGGAATACCCAGCATTGAACTCGAAGTAGATGTCGGAGGAGGAAAAATGCGATGAACAGTACTCCAAGAGGTGTACTATGTCCCTGACTTAGATGAAAATCTGTTGTCAGTACCACATCTAACGAGCAAAGGATTCAGCACATCCTTTAATCAACATACCTGCATCATAACTTGAGACAGAGTAATAGCAGCCTTGACAACCCGACGACAGTCCATATATGTTCTAAGAGGACGAACCTGCGACTACGAACGAGCCTACATAGTTGAAGGCTCAAGTCAATTCCTAGATGCTGAAAAGCTAATCATAGCACTCACCACATGCTTGTATTCATTCAAAGTGTCAATGCAGACATGGCATTGTCGACTCGTGGATACCACCCTTGATTCAGTGAAGAAACTATATGTGAAGGATATGGTTAGTGGAATGAAGGTTTCAGGGACAACAGCCCATGAAACGAATACATGCAAAGCCTGCCTCATAGGGAAACAGTCTCAAAAGCCAATCCCAAATGAATTGGAAGTCCAGAGCCCTCAAGTACTCCATAGAATATACTCAGATATCTGTGGTCCAATGAAAATGACTTCTAGAGGTGGATTCCAGTATTTCATCATGTTTATTGATGCCTGCACACACCATCTAGTCGTTAGGCTACTAAAGACGAAGGATGAAGCTCTCAAACTCACAAAATCATATTTTGAGTGAGCAGAAGCCGAAACAGGGGAGTGCATAAATATATTTCGCAGCAATGGTGGTGGAGAGTATGGTTCTAAAGCCTTTCAAAAGTACCTGGAGTTAAAAGGTATCCACCATGAAAGAACGAACACATACACACCACAGGAGAACAGAGTCACTGAACACATGAATCGGATGCTCATAGAGTCCACATGCGCAATGCTAAGTGACGTGGGCCTTCCTAAAATGTATTGGAGCAATGCTATCCTTCATGCTGCCTGTATCACCAATCAAGTACTGATATGAGCTCTAAAAGAAGACATTACTTCCTTTGAGGCTTTCACTGGCAATAAACCATCAGTATTGCACTTGAGAGTTTTTGGATGCAAGGCTTTTGTGCACGTACCAAGCGAACAATGTCAAAAACTTGATGTGAAGTCGATAGAGTGCATTCACCTGGGATATGCGGAGAACAGAAGGCTTATGTCCGCCTAGAAAGTTTGAGTAGGCGCGTAGTTGAATCCAGGGACGTTGTATTCCAAGAGGAGAATGATGGGAGGTCAAGCCGAGTGAAGATAATTGTTGATGAAAGCAAGACCCTCCAAATCAGTCAACAGCATGCACATTCAGGACAAAATTCCCTACCGGTCATATCAAACTCTAAAAATGCAGAACAAGTCCATATTGAGGAGGCCGCAAGCACAGAAGAGGATCTATGATCCAAATCTGACAAGGAGGAATCTCTTGCTGATACAAGTCAATGCAAAGTTAGTACTGAAGCTTCACAACGTACCTCTGCTAGACGGCGCATACAATCAAAAGCCCCCTCCCCCACACACACCATATCCTCATCCAGTTCCACCACATGAAGTTTAATGATCTGCTCAAAACCGAAAAGCTCCAATTCCTGATGACGATTCTCATTATTTTGTGAATGCATATGAAAAGTCGACCCTCAAGACTCACCATGAAGAAGATCCAAGCACGAAAACAAAGGAAAGGACTAAAGCTGTTGAGTATGAGAGTGAGAATGAGCTTGTGGATGAAGAACAAGCTTACCATACAGAGATAGCCGAAGAACCTAGGATGTTCGAAGAAGCAGCAAATCGGCCAGATGTGGACCTATGGAAAGCTGCCATGCTGGAGGAGCTGAGAGTTTTTGAGAAGATCGGCCTATACAAGGAAGTCAAAAGACCATAAGGACGGAAAATTATTGACTCCAAGTGGGTATATAAGGTGAAAAAGGGACCTACCGGTGAGATAGACAAATATAAGGCCCACCTTGTCGCCAAAGGATTCACTCAAGTCGAAGGCATTGACTACATGGAAACCTTCGCACCTGTTACAAAATTCTCGACTATCTGGATGCTTCTAGCACTAGCAGCCAAATATGATCTAGAGATACATCAAATGGACGTCAAATCAGCATTTCTCAATGGTGAATTAGACAAAGAAATTTACCTAGAAATTCTTCCAGGATTTCACAAATCATCATACCAAGTCTGGAGGCTCAAACGAGCACTGTATGGATTGAAACAGGCACACAAGGCCTGGTACAAGTGTTTGCGCATGGTCTTTGAAGGGCTTGGGTACACACACTGTGAATTGGATCACAGTGTGTTCTTCAAAATAATAGAAGGGACTCACATCATAGTAGCCATCTATGTCGACGACAAGATGATATTCTCAAAATATCTGAAGCTAATCAATCAGCTCAAGGAACAATTACAGAAAGAATACGAGCTGACAGACCTTGGAGAAGCGCATTGGATCTTAGGGATGGAGATCATACATGATCGAGACAAGAGAATGATCAAGTTATCGCAGGAGCACTACATTGAAAGTATTCTTGAACATTTCAATATGCAGAATGCATGGCCGGTCACAACACTAATGGATCCTAACACCAAGTTAGTGAAATGGGAGAGTGCCAAGACTGAAATCAGACCTTACCAGAGTACATTGGGCGCGATCATGTACGCAATGCTCACTACATGGCCAGATCTAGCATTTGCAGTAGGAGCATTGAGCAAACACTCTGCTACACCCGGACAAGAGCATTGGACCGCGCTAAAGCACGTGTATTGCTACTTGTGTAAGACTTCTAATCAGTGACTCATTTTCAATGGAAAAGAGAAGTCAGATGTACAAGGATATGTGGACGTGGATTGGGCATCCGACGTGAATGATCGGCGCTCAATAACAGGATATGTTTTCCTGATGGCAGGAGGCGCAGTGAGCTGGCAGTCAAAGAAACAAGATTCTGTAGCACTATTGAGCACTGAAGCAGAATATATGGCAGCTGCATCAGCTGCAAAAGAAGCTATATGGATAAATACCTTCTTGAATAAACTCAAGTTCCACAGATCCCAGAAGACCCTAATCCTCATCGACAATCAGTCTGCTATCTCACTCGCAAAGAACACCATCTTCCATAGCCGCACAAAGCACATCGCGATCCACTATCATTTCATATGTGAGAAGGTCAGCAACAGGGAGATTGTACTAAAATATGTACCAATGAATTGGCAAGTTGCGGACGTCTTGACAAAGGTGCTGGGAAGAGAGAAACACGAACGGTTTGCATGCAGAATGGGAGTGATGAGTAGCTGATAACTCACCAAGTGGGCGTGTTGTTTGTTTGTTTGTTCTTGAATGCAGCAAGTACAGCTTACATAATCACATCGGTACATCCAGAGGACTTAGACTCATTTACACCTCAGTCTAGTGCTGCCATGGTCCGGTTCGGAGGGTCCTAGACGAGAACCAAGAACTGGACCATAGAGACCAGTTCGGTTTTTTTGGGGTTTGAACCCGAACTGAACCAAAAAAAAAAACTGTAAGAGCACGCAAAAAAACATTAACAATGTACCAAGTAGTCTACATGTTGAGTAACTAATCTAATAACATGGCTGCTCCCCCCAATTACCATGCACAAGAGGTATCAGGAGAGCAATTGCGATAATGAGGGGTTGACACATCCAGAAATAGGAAAGCAGCAGTGAAGGATGGTGATCATGAGCATGGGTTGAGGATGGCAGCGAGCAGCAGCAGGAGATGGCAGTGAGCAGCGGCATGAGATGGCGATGAGCACAGGTACCATATACAAATGATAAATTTATTAGACACTGAAACAATAAAACACCATGACACACCTTTGCAGCTGAGAGAACTCCCCATCTAGAGTCGGCTCTATATGCGCTGCATGTGCTCTGCATTTCTCTCTCCTCTACTCTTTCCCTCCTCCTCTCATCCTTTATTCATCTTCAGCATCCGGGCGTGTGAGACAGTGAGTGAGAGACAGAGGGTGAGTGAGACACAGCGAGCAAGCCAGTAAAAGCCAGCCAGCAAGAACAGCAAACAAGTGAGAAGGGATGCGGTGAGGTGGCAGGCATCAACATAGGCACAGGTGGCGTGGCATGTGATGGATTGTGCGCTGGTAGCGATGGGTGCTGGCCTGCACAGTGTTGTAGCTGGTCCTCAATGAATAGAACCTCCTGTTATAGAGGTGAGTGGGTGAGAGACTTGAGAGTTTAATTAGTTAGTACTTACCTTCAAAAAGGCTAAATGTAGCTTGATTAATCAACAACGTGAATCCCGAAGACGACAGTCTGACGTCGAGGCAGATGCTGTCGAAGTCGAAGTCAATAAGGGTTCGGAACAGTTCGGGAAGGCTGAACAAGAACTGGACCATTTGGGAAGATCTAGAACCGAGAACCGTTTTCTGGTCCGGTTCTGGCTGGCGCGAGAACCATGGACTGAACCGTGGAGAACTGGACCAAAAGTCCAGTTCGAACCATGGTTCTGGACCGGACCGCGGCAGCACTACCTCAATCCACTACACTATGAGTGTACAGCTGAGGTGAGACACTCACTTGGCTTTGACATCATCCAGGTGTGACCAACCTAACCTTAGATTCGAAGACCTCAGAAATATCTTTGAACCAGCACCACTACCAGCTGCTGTCAGCAAGAGATCACAGCTGAAGGTGATGAAGAGAATTCACCTGTACCTGTAGGTTTGATGTATCACTAGTAACTACCTATAACTACAAGTGATTCTGAATACAATAATTGCTGAGGGATGTAGATGGTGTGATACATCACTGTATTGTAGACTGTAGGTTCTCTATGGCTCTACTACATTCCTTAGCCATGTCTGCATATAGTAGTGCTGTGTGTTCCCCTTGCTATGCTACCCATCTGTTGGTGAGATTATGAGATCGAGATCGATCAGCATCTGAGATCATTACAAAGTCAGGACACCATCACTGAGATCACCAGATCACGATCATTAAGCTAAGAATGGACACGCTAAAATTCTCGAATATATTCTACCTAGTACGTATTGTTCGAAGTTGCGACACGCGGGAACAAACAGAAGGCTAAAACAAATGAGTGTATACTCAGCCATACGCTCGTAGTGTAGTGGACTAAATAACTAACCTAAAACAAATGAGTGTATACTAGGAAAGTCAGTTAATGAACAAAGTATAATAACGCGTATCTCTACAGTACTATGAGATCTAGTAGGTGACAAATGATCTACACAATGAGTGCAATTAATAGGCAGGGGCCTTCATAGGTGAGACGTTCCGACAAAATCTATCCAGGAGACCGCCGTTGGTGCATACGGTCCTTGGAGGAGAACTTGGCAGAATGGGCAGGACCTGAACCTAGTGGAACAGGATTGAAAGTCTGCCCCCGAGAGGTACCAGCCTGAGTTGACTGTGATCCTTCACTACAAGTATTACTGCGGTTCCATGACGAAGCACCAGGTTTTAGTGCGTGAGGGTAGGAGAGCCGTTTTTTATGTACCGGAATTGTCACAGACGTACCCAGGCTCCCAACAGCTACCGGCGCACGCTTCTTATTAAAGATGTCATCAAATGGATCGGAGATAAGGCGTTGGGGTTGCTCGTCGTTCTCCACAGTCAAGCGGCTTTCATGGTCGCCACCGTCATTCCAGTCTTGGCTATCATTCCAGCCCATCTCATGGCCACGACCGGCCAAGTCCACCTCTGGTACTTTATCCCGGCGGTCATCCTGTGAGCCTGCAGGTTGGTCTGACTGATCATTGGGAGAAGAAACTGGAGCGGGAGCCAAAGGGTCGGCGGATAAAGAGGCGGGGCGGGGAAGGTCGGGAGGAGTGGTCGGAGAGGTTGGAGGTGGGTCGGAGAGGGATGAATCGTCATCTCCACACTGCGACTGAGGTAGCGTTGTGGCAGTACTAGCTGTAACAGGTGCCCCCTTGATTATGATGTTGGGTGGTACCTGCTCATCTTTGCGACGCTTGTGTGAGCTGCCCTCGGACTCATCATCAATACCAACAGTCGTGGACTTAGTCTTGTTTCCCTTAACCTTACGCTTTGCGGCTGGTCTGGAAGGAGGGAGTGGGGTCTTGGCTGTCCCTTTGACACGCGCCTTCTGTTTGGTAGCCTTTTTCCTTCCGACGGGTTCATGGTCGACGTCCATAGGGTCGTCGTCATCTGTAAAATCATCTGACTTCGGCCTTGATACAGATATCAGATCTCCAATGGCGCTATCATCATCATTAAACATGCATCCTACAGAGATGCTTTTTAGTCAAGCCCTCGTCAGTTGAAGTAGACACTTACGAAATTCCTTGTCAGCACCTACAAATGCCTCATGCATTGCGCCCTTTGAGAATGAGATATTATTGAGAAAGACATCGGCCGTCTTCAAGGCGATGGCTCTGTAAACATGCACCTCTTTGGGCTGAGGGTGACGGTAGATCCGCCCACGCAATTGGCGATCGTCCTGCTCCGACCAAAGGGTATCCTACCATAATGATCAGCTACACCTGGAATACAAGCACTATAGGAATGCGCATACCAACACTACCATTATATTAGCACATGCCAAATTTAAGCCTACCATACCTACACCTGACAAAATCAAGACACGCGCTCCTTTGGTCCTCGCAGATGACCTGAAGTCATCCAAAATGCCCTTGCGCTTCTTCATGGGTGTCTGTCCATTAAGTTCTAGTGCATGAACGCCGTGAAGGTCCAAAACCTGAAAACAAGGATTCGATCAAAAGGCTGGAGTTGTCTACTGTATAACTCACATCCACGATAGCCTGATTGGAGGTGACGAAAGCCGAGAATACCACGATCCTGTCTGGATCATCTGAGTGAGTATTTCCAGCTGTGAAGGCTACGTTAGGAACCAGGTTGCGACCGCTCTCATCCATCATCAATGGCTGGCGACCGTCAGACTCCAAATGGTATTTCAGGAGTTTAGCCAGGACGTCCAACTTCATGCTTTTGGTGGGGCTGACGTCCCACTCCTCCAGAGATTTCGGTCTTGTCCATGAGTGTTCCTCAGTTGGGTTCATATGCGGGTGAAGGATGGACCGCCTAAATTCAACATAGAAATTCTGTACACATTGCTCAGATGACAGCCCAATGACACGTCTGGAAAAATTGACCTCACCTTGCTCATCCCTACAATGGGACAGTCATCGATATATCCCCGTGCAATATTCCTCAAATTCTCCATCTCCCAGTCAAGCAGCCTTATTTTTAAGCTATGGTCATGATAGGGAGGGAGGCCCAGGATCTTACTGCCCGTACTGTCAGTGGAATCTAGGGTATGAAGGATGACAGCAGGGGAGAACCACTCTCTCATACGCCCCATCCATTGTTTCATCGCAGGTAGGTATTCTTCTTGAGCAGCCTCCGGATTATGGCTGCCGACCAAAACGCCTCGCAGCATTGATCCCTCAACTCCCGCCTCTCTCTGTGCCTTACGGTCCCTTCTCTGAGCCGCTGCCAATTCTCGGTTCATCTTCTTGAGCTGTGCAGTATCCTTGAATTGCGGAAGCCCTAGCAGCTGACCCATAATCCAAAGGTCCTGGCGTCCATCAAATTCAATATTGGCCGCAAAGTCAGTAACATTCGTTGATTGATGGCGTCTATGCTGGCTTACCGTGGGTTTTGTGGTGACCGGTGTTGCAGTCATTGCAACCATTAAGTGAGATCTCTCCTGAAGTCCTCGAGCTGCTATGTGTACTTTATTGTATTTCCTTGCGCAGTGAGCTTCATCGAAAAACGTCACGTTATATCCACGACCGAAGAGGGTACTTGGGGCAGTTCGTTCAAAGCGAGGGCTAGCTACCGGCTGCCCGTAACTGTCCCTCTCGCTATCGATGAATACGGTGACTGCATCATCATGCGCTGCCTACCCCACATAAGTTATTTTGTTTTCTGACAACAGACCTCAGAAGTCACTTACATTTGTCGTGGCCAAAATGATGCGCCGTATCGAAGGCTGCTGGCATTTACTCCAAGCCGTTGACCACCACTGTGAACGTGCGGTATATTTGCCCGCGTAAGGAAGAACGTCAAACGTCGCTCGCCTTAGATAGCGCTGTATTTCGCTCATCCACTGATGTTGTAGGTTAGGAGGACTCATGATGACGGTTGGTAAGTCTGGAATGTTGCCACCTGTCTTCTGGTGGCAACGTTGTGCTGTGGGGTATCCGTCAGCGCATGCAGCTGTGCGGGAAGCCCGAAAGATTGCTTACAAAATTTGCCAGGAAACTTCCCGTGTTTCCTGTAATGATCCTTGTAGTGTGCAAGGCACGCAATCAAACCAACAGCCTGCATGGTTTTTCCAACCCCAACGCCATCCATCAGCATCACCGGCTTACCGTCCAAAAACCTGTCAATTAGCCTCAGGATGCCAACTAGCTGGTGCCACCGAGGCGTCAAGCTCTGTGCCAGGCTCGTCGGATCATCAAGCCATCGCTGACCTTCTTCACTCCACGGGTCAATGGCGGCGTCAGGGTCAGATCGCGTCTGGAAAAAAGGTAGTCTCTTCTCCGGCAGGCCTAGGTATTCCCAAAGATCATCCTCGCTGCACTTGTCATATTCCTCTACTCCACTCTTCCAGTCACTCACATCCATATTCTCTGTGAAGTCTACCACAACCTCATCGCCATCAAGCGGCACCATTGCAGCAAGTGTGGTCTCGATCAGAAGTTCGAGCTCCTTGACTTCTCGTTCAGTGGCCAGCTTGTCAAGCGCATCCCGTAGAGATTTAGGAAGCCCTAAACAATCACCGTTAGTCATCGTGTAGATGTCAGTCAGATACTGGTCACGAACGTGCTATTAATTCTGCTTTGGCGGGATCTTTCTTGGCAGCAGCCAGCATCGCATTCACCTGTTCACGACGCGCATCAAGGTTCTTACTCGTCTCCTGGTCTTTGAACACGCTAAGAAGGGTGAACAAGGTCTCCAATTTCTTCATGTAGGTGCGGATGCTGGCCATCGTGGGTTTTGCATTTGCGGCCGTGATGACTGCCCGAAGGTTAGCTCCCGCTCTAACTCACCAACCTGCGCAGCTTACCTAGCCATTGGTCTTCGACCTCCCTAGTCTTCTTGTCGATGCTGTTAGCCTGTCTTTTGATCGTCTTCCGATATCTACCCCACGTCGATACCAGCACTGTACTGACAAACGTCATGATGGGCGCTATAAGGAAGGATCCGTCGGTGAATGCATCGTCACCAAACAACACATCAGCCAGTTTGATGGAGACGATCTGTTTCACCTGCGCAGCTTCCATCGTCGGAAACTAAGTACATGGCTATATCATATTATGAGAAAGATAGATCGGCACATGACTTACATCATCTGCAGTCCTGCAATTCAACCTGGCCATGACATTGTGCGGCGCGCAACCGCTGTCTTCAAAGATGTCATCGACCAATTTGTTGATATTCCATTTGGCCCACGAAGTCTTAACCCAGGTGTTCCATAAACAACGACCTTCATGGTCATTATCTTGTCGTTTTACACCGTAGTGTTCAGCAGGTTCCTCAGCCATTTTGCAGTTGTTGATGAAAGCTTCAACTGCCTGAGCCTTGCCCACGGTCCATCCAGTAACATCATGATATTTGGCCAGAGCAGTTGCATCATCGCCATGGTCGTACGCCCAAGGTTCGCTAAGAACGTGTGTCACAGACTGCCATACCGGATTGGACCATGGCAGCGTTGGATTGGCGATCCAGAGTTGGATCAGAGCAAGAGGGTATGGAATGGTTGGCATGACTAGATCTTTGGGATACTAGTTAGCTCGCCCTCCTTTATATTCAACGAGGCTGCCAGGACGAAAATTTTGGAACTTGCCTTATGACAGTTTCCCTCGCCACAAGCCCAGCGAGTGCCGACTCGGGTATCGATCGTCATCGCTAAGCGCTAGCGTGTGGAAAAGACGGATTACTACCATATCATATTATAGGCCCTTACGGTAACTTCGTGACCTACCACTACTTAGTGATTTTCAACTACAGACCTCAATTTTGCACCACTCACTTAGCTACTTCACCGAGTGCATTCGTTGAACATGTTCTTCGTATACCCTATTCCAAGTGACATGAACTAATGTTATAAAGAAATGATGGAGGTCGTATATTCTGCGTGACACACAAGTGTCTACCGACACTAGCAACTCCGGTTTTTGTAGTGTCGTCGGGAACAGTTCCAAAAACTGCTTGTGTTCCAATTTTTGGCGAGTGCGGTCCATAGTCAAGAATCTGAGTGCTTTGCTTATATGCTGCATGGACAGCAGCAGGGCGAGTAAGGCGCGATATAGCAGCACGAAGGCCTATAGCTGACACACGGAGTAACGGTTCGACGTCCCCATGCTTTATGGAAAAACGACTCAGTGGACAGAAAATCAGTCTCTTCGTGCGAATATTCCGCCAAACGGTCGCAGGGTTTACCGGAAGATCAAGAATGGACAGGTTAAGGATCGCTGTGCTGATAGAAATGTAGCAATGACTCAAGCGAGCCGCCATCATGTCTGGTGGCTGGCGGTCAGTTGCGAACTTGTATGAGGTTGGGGCGCAGAAACAGATGCACAGCTGCTTTCAAGGGCTCGTGCTGAGAATGTTCCAGGACAGACAACGTTGTCATGGGGAAGGCGTTGCTGCTGACTGGACATACAAGCATGGCTTGCCAGTTAAGATCGAAGCGAAGCGGAATGCAACATCAGGCTGTTGGACGATTAGATAATAAATGCGATAGTGACCACCGATTCACTTACGGATAAAATGCTCGCTCTGTGTCATCGATGAATATTGCACCGATCGAGTTGGAAGTTATCGAGTGTATTGGGTGAGATGACATTCGCACAGTTATCATTTCCCATGATATTCACTGCAGGGATCGACTGCAATGGGCTGCCATCCAGCCGAAGTAAAAGAATCGCCCATCTTCTTCGGCAGTCCAGGCAGTATCGCAAGAGGAGTTGCGGGCACCAAGAAACGCGAGACTGGAGAGTGAGGACATAGAAATAGATGAACAGCGATCACAAAAGCTATAGGAGAGGAATGTTTTGTCTGGTAGAGACCTAGAGTCCGCGGAAACTTTGCGCCGGTTTAGAGTCTGGAAACCTTACGCAATTAATGTTCGTGGGTTTTTGTTTCCTTAGTGAGTGGTTGGTGGTTGTGCTTCGCTGCGTCTCACATGGTTCTGCATAAACAACATGACCGAACCAGCCCTAAGATTTGTTCATCGCAGGACGGAGACTATCCTGTTGCTCGTGGCGGGTTCAAGGAGATATGGAAATGCACCTTTCACATCGATCGGACATCGACCAAAGTTCGTTTGCTGTCTTTTGTCTGTTTATCTGTCTAAAATTTGATTTGGCAGGTCGCAGTGAACGCAATGCAAATAATGTACCATAGTGATGTTTATTTTGAACAAAGAAAGACAAACGCAATCCAGGCGAGTGTCTTACCGAAGGACTCAGTCTATTACTTACACCACGGGCACCACTTCGTAGAGGATAAATCGTGAACTCAGGAATTGTGCTGCCCTCAACCATGCAAATATTGTACCCATCTATGGTTATACGCATGGCTTCGGCCTATTTCCAGCGATAGTCACACCTTGGGCAAAAAACGGTAACCTGTTCAACTATCTGGAGCGTGAGGGTGCGGCTCTTACTCTCGTCAGACGATTCCAGTTGGCAAGTCTTATCTTGATGTATTTTGGGTAGACCACAGAACTAATGAAACACTTAGCTAAAAGACATCATAGCTGGTCTGCAATATCGTATGTGACAGATACTGTCAGTGCCCGCCCGAGCTCTAACCATTCCTCATAGTTCACGCCAACTGTGTCATCCATGGAAACCTCAGTGGGGTAAGTTCGATCTTCTCGAATCTCGATAGCTTCATTTTATTTAGACGCGAGCTCCAGCCCAATGTGCTCGTCCGTGATGATGGCACTGCGTGCATTGCCGACTTTGGTCTTTCCTTGATGTATTCAAAGGTCATAAGCGTCACTGAAGCTTCCTGGACTTCCACCCTCAAAGGAAACGTGCGATGGATGGGTCCTGAGCTATTACTAGAGAAGGAGGATGGATCTCCAACTCGTCCGAGCGAGCAGAGCGACATCTATTCGGTCGGCGGTATCATGTTGCTGGTACGTCTGGGGTAATCCCTGCCTTTGGTTGATATTACTAATTTTGCCCTTTAGGTCTTCACCAACAAAATTCCTTATCATCGCCTCCGGCGTGACGTCATGATCTTCCTCCACTTATCTAGGTCGGAAACGCCCTCCCGAACTCATTATCCTGAGCTCCCTGAAAAGTATTGGCCATTTATCGAGCGATGTTGGTCTAGTGATCCTCGGGATCGTGGATCGTCCATCGACGGAGGAAGTTGATATAATGATCAGGAACGAATTTGACTCACTGTCGAGATCTGAGATGTATCCTATTGCTCATGGCGACCCCCATCAGACAGGACTCCAAGACCTCTCAAAGTATATCTCCAAGGTTGGGAACGACCCTCTTGCTTGTGGTGAGTTCGCAGACATTTGGAAATGCACCTACTACGTTGATCGCGCACCAGTCCAAGTTCGTTTCGCAGTGTTGTTTGTCCATCAGTTCAAAATTGATAATTGGGCAGGTCGCGGTGAAAGTATTGCAGGTATGCGCTAATGATAAATTTGGGCCGGCAAGGACGAAAAAGACCAAGGTGAGTTTCTTGACGAAGGACTTCATCTATTACTTATGGACTGCCAGCTCGTAGAGGATAATGCATGAACTCAGAATATCTGCCAACCTCAACCATGCGAACATTGTACCCATTTATGGTTACACGTATTATGGCTTCGGCCCATTTCCAGCGATAGTTAGTCGTTGGGCAGAAAGGGGCAACCTGTCGGATTATTTGAAACGTGAGGATGCGGCTCTTACTCTCCTTAGAAAATTCCAGATCGTAAGTCTCTTGTATTTCATGCAGACCACAAACTGATGGCAATCTCAGCTGAGGGATATCATAACTGGCCTGCAATATCGTACGTGCTAGTTATTCTCAGTGCTAGACTTGGAATAGTAACATTCCTCACAGTTCATGCTAACAATGACATCCATGGTGACTTCACCGGGGTAAGTTCGACCCCCTTCCAATAACTTTGTAACGTGCTGATATATGCTGATGGCACCGCGTGTGTTGCCGACTTTGGTCTTTCCTTGATGTATTCGGATGTCATAAGCATCTCTCAGGCTCCCTGGACTTCCACCCTCAGTGGCGATGTACGATGGATGGCTTTTGAGCTGCTTGGAGAGCGAGAGGACGGAACTCCAGTGAGGCCAAGCAAGCAGAGCGATGTCTTTTCGTTCGGCAATATCATGTTGCAGGTACGCCCGGAATAGTCTCAACTTGTTGATGTCATGAGCTCTGCCTCTAGGTCCTCACCAACAAAATCCTTTATCATCACATCCGGCATGACTACATGGTCGTCCCGTACGTATCTAGGTCGGAAAGGCCCTCCCGAACTCATTATCCTGAGCTCCTTGAAAAGTATTGGCCATTTATTGAGCAATGTTGGTCTACTGATCCTCAGGACCGTCCATCGACGGAGGAAGTTAATGTGATGATCAGGAATGAAATTGACTCGCTGTCCAGAATTAATTGATTCTCGCACTTGTCTTGTATCCGAACATCTGCTTTACAGTCCAGCCAGATAGATGAACCTAGGCATCTGTATACGGTTCACTCCAAGATTTCGCTAACTTGTACTGTATTCATTCAGTATTAAGTGCTACCAACTTGCACTATATTACCTAACATAACATACCTTATTACTGTTGTATAAGGCGGCCAGTCATTAGCCCGCGTAACTGTAATCATTATCAGGGTGAATATGTGGAGTTAAAGCACAAGGTCTCAAACCATAGGCATTCCAAAGACTATACATAGCAGAGTGTGGTACCTGGACGTTGAGAAGGATGGCAATTTTTTAGGGGACAACAAAAATGATGTTATTATGTCATGGGGATCACCGAGGAGCAGCCCTAAGTTGCGGCCACTATACATAGCTGAGCGCTAAGCCATTTGAGGAGCAGAGATACTGTTGTGTCCCACCGTGACAAGCTTCGACCTATTATGGAAGTTCAGTGTGATTACATGGGGATCAAATGTAGAGTGATTGAAGTACCCTCACCTCCACATAACATCCAAGATATGTCCTCGCTGAATGCAAATTTGTCGCACCGCTACGGATGTATTGTTTTTTTTTTTACGACTCAAGCTTTGGAAACACCATGGTACTGGTACAAGGGCTCCACTTGAGTCATTTTAACTTGATGATAAATGAAAACGCTAACCAGTAGACCCCTCGTGGTCCGATAATTATGAAATTACTAGTAGTGGCAGATCTGGCAGCTACTGACACGATATGTCAGCATGCAACTGGCACCCATGACAGCTGTCTTACCACGAGTAGACAGGGGCGAAGGAGCTCTTTCCACTGAGTTTTTTTTTCCATTCTATTCAATTGAGCGTGTCATAATTCACAATTCACACACTTAGCAGTAGTCGAAATTACCTCTTAATGCACTATTGTCTGGTGCCCAGCCCATTCAAGTCTGTCAGTTGACATGGCCCCGAAGATCAACAGGCTCATTTGTCAATTTCCAAACTGCAAGCGTGTTTTCCAAAACAAGTCGGGCCTCACTCAGCACATACACACCAAGCATCCATTACCCCCGCAAACTCAGGAAGAACTCAATCAAACAGCTCCACCTGCAGGTCCCAGTTTTATTCCTCCAAGGGAACATTCTCCCACTCAAGCGGAAAATTGGGGTATCAACGAGCAGGATGAGGCAGGGTTTGTACCTGAGGAAGGCACTTGGGTGGACATGGGGCGTTTGTTTCAGACTTTCCATCCACACATGACCGGTAAGTAAGTTTTCGAGGAGTCTTTCATACCATGTCACTCATATATTTATTTCGTGACTTAGCACGCAAATCCGATGTTAATGGTACATTTATCGACCAGGATGCACCCCTGCTGCCTCGTACAGATGCCCCATCAACTGACTGGACGCCCTATAATGATAGGGTCAAATTCAAGACTGCAGAGTTTCTATTTACATGCAACCAGATGTCCACCAAACAAATTGACACTCTACTCGACTTATGGGCCGTGACTCTGATAAAACATAACAATGCTCCCCCTTTTGCTAACCATAAGGACATGTATGCTACCATTGATGCGACACCACTCGGGGATGTCCCCTGGAAGACGTTCTTGATGTGTTTTAATGGAATCAAGCCCGAACAAAATGTGCCACCATGGATGACTGTACAGTATGATGTATGGTATAGAGATCCACTGCAAATTGTGCATGACATGCTTGCAAACCCTGCCTTCGATGGAGGCACTGAATACTCACTGTACCATGATTACACCAGTGACAACAAATGATACTGGAAAAACTTTATGTCAGGTGACTGGGCATGGAACCAGGCGGTATGTTTTCAAATATTCATGTTCAGAGCATACTGACAATCATTTTAAGGATCTCATTGCCAAAAACCAAGAGACTTGTGGTTTGACATTTGTGCCATTGATTATTGGCAGTGACAAGACAGTTGTATCCATCGCTACAGGCCAAACAGAATACCACCCACTATATCTTTCCATTGGCAACATCCACAATAGTGTACGATGCGCGCATCACAGAGGCGTTGTTCTCATTGGGTTCCTTGTGATATCAAAATGTAGGTACCCACACCTATTATTTGTCCTGAATTATATACTCATTTTGTTCGTTTAGCTACAAAGGAACACAACAATGATACTAACTACAGGAACTTTCGACATCAACTCTTTCAGCAGTCACTCGCCAAAATATTCGAGTCTGTGAAACCATTCATGGAAACCCCCGACATCATGTGCTTCCCTGATGGTCACTTTCGACAAACAATATATGGTTTAGGTCCCAATATAGCTGATTATCCAGAGCAGGTGTTGCTCTCTGGTGTTGTGCAGAACTAGTGTCCGCAGTATGATTATCTTTTCTTTGGTTTCTTAACGACTCATTTTTTTCATAGGTGTCTGGCAAACAGCAAGGACCTTGATGGTGGTCAACCATGTCTGCATCGACGTGAAGTGCACACTGAGCTGCTCATCAAACAGCTAACATATAAACAGGTTTGGCAAGAGTACAGTATCATTGGTGATCTTGTCGTAGGTTGTTTCCTCAAACTCAGGGCTCAATCTCACTCTTCACACCACTAGCCATTCACTAATGATTATCCTCGAGCGGACATCCACGAGCTCCTCTTGCCAGATCTCTTACACCAGATAATCAAGGGAACATTCAAGGACCACTTGGTTGACTGGGTAGAAAACTATCTAAATATCATGCATGGTGCTCGCCGTGCAGCCAAAATTATGGATGACATTGACCGCAGGTATGTAAGTTATCGTATTTTTGCTAATGACTACTAATAAAAAGCAGGATAGCAGCAGTAACCCCATTCACAGGGTTACGGTGCTTCCCTGACGGGTGTGGATTCCAGCAGTGGACTGGTGATGACTCCAAGGCCTTGATGACGGTGCGCAGTAGTCTTTGTTATGACTCAGATAGAATCTAGTGTAACAGCTCCAATAAAGGAGATCAAGAGTATGGGTTCAAGTAATCGACAACCAGAGGTAGAACTCTGGCGAAGTGATCGAGTATAGGCTAGTCTCTTCGCAAAGAGCTAGATCAGAAGGCACCCTCAGGTCCTAGTCAGGGAGGAGCAGCTTCGATATTAGTGTAGCTGCGGTCAAGTTACTGCTATGCATTGCATGGAGTACCTAGTGATCGTGAATGTAAATAATATATCAGCTATTCCTCGTTACAGGTACCATCCATAATGGCCAGAAAAGCCAAAAAAAACTTCAGTTGCATCAAATTTTTTGGTGGATGGAGGTGTACAGGTCAGGACTTATCACCTGAGATGCTCAGTTACAGGTCAAACAATTCAGCTCTATATGCTATAAATCACACAGATGAGTCTCTGAAACAGTAGCGAGGGTCTTTGATCATGTATAGCCACATTTTGTAAGGATGCGCCAAATTGACCTTGGAAGGAAAAAAAACTCTCTCAAATTTGAGTATTATCAAAATCCATCTGGAGGTTTTGTTCTTTAGGCAAAAACAAGCATTTTGCCAGAGGGATAAAAAACCGGGTGAAATTTTGAGGTGCTAAAAATGTTGCACAAATGTAGCGGTGACTAAGTGATGTGCACCATAGAAGTGAAGCAGGGATCAAGAAATAAGACAGGGATCAAGAAGATGATACATGCGTGGTCCTGCAGGTGTGAAGAGAAAATGATGGGGTTGCTGTAACATTACCCCCCTGTCAATGTCTGAAGTCTCCGACTTCAATCACAATTTGGGTAGAGCTCTGGGTCGAGGTCAGCGTCCTTGGCGAACTGGTTCTCATACTTGTCTGCCTCATTAACAGTTCTCAAAGTCGAACATAGAAAAAAATTCACAGCAAGATTTTGCGTTGCCGGTACAGCATGTTCAAACTCCGCCCTGCCCTGTCACTCGACATCGTCATTACTGGCATCGACGGTGCCAAAGATTCAATCCGATCATCAATTGTTGTCATAATAAATGCCCTGAATCATGTCACGCTCTGGACAGAGAGGTCGAGGTGGTGGCGGTCAAGCCAGTGTGTCTGCCAGTATGGACACTGGGAAGAAATGCACTATCCATTGGGAGGGGGTTCGTAGCGCTCATACGGAATGTCTCCTTGCCTGGTGCAAGGAAAATGAAGATGCACACATCAAGCTGTTCTCCGATTCCGCAAAGGATGCGAAGGAGCAAGGTCAGAAGAAGAAACAGAGTGGAACTTCAAGAGATACCTTTTATTCACAGGTCGCACAAGCCGTATTTTCGAATGATGAGGATCTGGAGGTCCAATGACTTTTCAAGGAGGACCCAAAGGCATTTATCAAACCAGTTTCAACTCGTTTCGGCACGTATGTATCCCGTTCCTGCATTGTCCCTCCTCCCACTAGAATCACTGATCAGATGTTTTAGGCTCAAGAAAAAATATAACGAGTTCAACAAGGAGCTCAAGCAGTCAGGAGCCGGAAAGATGTATGCAGAGCTGCAAGAGGATCCAATGATGAAGTCGTTGATTGGTAAGTTTTAGCCGCTGTGGAACTGCACATGTCTTAATCGTATCTCTGTTAGATACAGAGCTCGAAAAATTTCCCTGGTGGCCTGAGCTTCATGGCTGGTGGCACACAAACCCAGCTTTCAATTACGCCTTCTCTATGGCGGATACAGGGCAAGATTTTGCGTCCACTGCATTAGAACATTTCGCTATCTCAAAGCAACCACAAGCACCGGCCGCAGGCGACAATGACACTCACACAGATGAGGATGCCGAGGACGGAGAAATAGTTGAGATCAGCGCTCATACTACAGGTGATGCTGGCATTATAGATGCGCCAGATGATATGATGGTTGACCAGCTCCCCTCCATGGAGTCATTCGAATCACCGTTGTCAGCACCATCCCCGCTGTTATTTTGGACCATGGTCCTAGCGACACGCCCAACTCATTCTCACTCGCTCCATTACCACACTGGTACCAACGACCCCAACCTCCTCCCATCACAACTTCCAACACACACGGCGTGATATCGCTGAACTCTCCTGAGCGCTCACCGGTACCCAATCAAAGCACCACCCACAATTCACCTTTCTTTTCTGATTTCAAGGAGTCATCAGCTAGCCCTCAATCCACACCCATTGACTTGGAAGATTCGGACATTGGTGCTAGCTGAGCACTGCAGTCTCTTCACGTCAGCTCACTCAAAGGAAGTCGCGCAAGTTCACCCTCTCTTTCTACAAAGCAGTCTCGTGCACGTGCACCTACTCAGAGTGCTTCGCCTCAATCTAGTTGCCCCCCCTCTTCATCACGCAAACGCCCTGGTGGCAGCACTCTCGATCAGACCTCTGCCGCTGCAGATAGGATGTCTCAGATGGCAGATTCCCTAATGACGCACCTTAACAGCAAACATGAGGATTGTGTGGAGCACGAACACTATAAACGCATGAAACTTGAGACCGAAATTTGGGCTCATGATCTCAAGGCCTGCAGTGCTCGTGATGAGCGGGAGCATGCGATGTGTCTATCTGACCAAGATCATCAGCACCAGCAGGAGAGGATGACTCAACAGATGGAATTTGCAAGAATTGAGATTGAGCTATCTCATGCACGTCGGGAGGAGGAGGAGGCTCGAATTCATCGTATTGCTTTGGAGCGCGGTCTTGATCAAAACTAAGTAGGTTTGCACTATGTTGTCACATAACAGGTTTTCAGGAAATGTATTCCATGTTGTACTCGATGGTGCCAACTCAGAGAGCTCACTAAAACGCTCCTTTCTCGAGCAAATCTCAAGCACAACTGACCCCTCCTAGAGCTCGCCAAAACGCTCCTTTCTTGAGAAAGTCTCAAGTGCAACTGACCCCTCCTAGATCTCACTACAATGCTCCTTTCTCAAGAAAATCTCAAGTGCAACTGACCCCTCCTAGAGCTCGCCAAAACATTCCTTTCTCGAGAAAATATCAAGCGCTACTGACCCCTCCTAGAGCTCACTAAAACACTCCTTTCTTGAGAAAATCTCAAGTGCAACTGACCCCTCCTAGATCTCACTAAAACACTCCTTTCTCAAGAAAATCTCAAGTGTGACCTTGCGAGCCAAAAGGAATATGTATAGGTACAACTACATTTAATATAATACTAACTACCTTTGCTCCAACGACGAAAGCAACCGTGTCTTTAATGTGTTATGAAAATCCTGCCCCACAGTTCTAATGTAAGTCTGATCACCTACTGCGCCACCCTGTTGCTGATCATCCTCTCCTCCATCACCGTCAGCTCGCCTCAATCTCCGAGTTTGCTGATAGAAGCATATGTTTGAGTCTTCGCGGTTTTCTGTTTCTTCAATTTCAACAATTAAGTTGTGCAGAATGAAGCACGAACGGATCCACATGTTCGCGTAGTCGAGGTCCTTCTGGCTTTCGATTGGGATGCAAAGCTCCCACAGTGATTGGAACTGGCCCTTGATAGAGCCGAAGAAGTGCTTCGAACGAATGCGGACCTAGACACTGGGTGAGGACGACGAAAGTATATTAGTACTGATGCTCACTGTTGACAGGTTATAATTGAATGTCCTTTGCTCGGCCGTCAAAGACCCTCCCGCTGGCTGTTTGTATGGTGGCACACACCAAATTCGTGCAGCATATGCCAAGTCCGCCCACAACCACTCTCCCGCACCAAAAAATGACTCAGGATGCCAGGAGACCCTCATTCGTGCAAATATGTTCGAGTTGTGAAGACTCCTGGGTACGCCAATGATGTAGTCAACGATACACAGATTATGAGGGAATATGATGACCTTTTGGATTGTAAGTCGCTGCTCTGCACACTGAGCTGATAGTAGATACTTACCTGGGCTGTTAAAGAGTAGTCAGAGTTCTTGTCAAAGAACCCTTCGCCGTGCCAACCAGGCTTCTCGTGTAGAGGGGACGGAGTCCCATCTACACAAAGGAAACCGCCGCACCACTCACAACATGTCTTCTGCTCCACATACACTTTTGCCCGCTCTCACTCAATCTGGTCCTCACGATCGAGTGGATCAAAATGTATGGCGTGATCATGCAGTTGCAAGATCACGATCATGACTCGCTTGTAGCAGTTGTAGATGGTCCCTACGGACACTCCAGCCCAATCGGATATGTCTTCGGTAGTCACAGCATTGCCATAATGGCCGACACCATTGAGAAAGATCGCGAGCTGGACGGCGACAGGAAGTTGCGGATTATTCGAGTTATTATGGAAAATGGGGTGGGCTTGGATTAATGTCGTGAGTTTGTTGAATACCTCTGCATCAACGCGAAGCTTGCAGCGAAACTTTTCAGGTGAGAGCAGCGCCCATTCTTGCAGCAGGTGTAACTGCGGTGCGCAAGTCAGAGATGGACGCACGTCAAGTACCCGACACTTCTCCACTTCATCATGCAGTGCCCCAATCGCATCAATAAAGTGTGTAAACACTTGATTGCACATGTCTGGGATATCGAGTGATAGGACATCAGAATACGCTGTTGAAAGCGAGGTTACTAGAGAGCTGATGGACAATGTGGATACAATGGATGACATCGGGGACTCCGGCCATGTTGGCGATGCAGTCCATATGCTGACATCTGACCCACTATCACCATCTGATCCCTTATCAGAGCTATTGTCAGAGCCCTCCTCGAGGAGCTGATCTACCATAAATTTAATCAACTCCATGTATCGCGTGACCGTAAGGTCATTTGTCGTTTGCTTCAGACTACGAAGTAGTTTTTTGCGATCCGATTCTCGAGGCATCTTCCGATGTCGTTGCAGAACATTATCAATATGATGGTCACGGTAAGGTACGATGATGATGGGCAGTGGTAAGATATGAGCTTGATTTGTCATCGTCGGAGTTCTAATTATCGGCAAGTCGCAAATTTCTTACCTCTTGAAATTTCTACGATTTTAACTTTGAGGACCACTATTGTCTCTTTCATTCTCCCATTGCCTGAGCTGATAATGGAATGCGTGGGTGCCAGGCTTGGCAGAGATAATGTGCTTGCCCTTAAGGTCTGGGCAGTTGGCTGAGAGGTGGTGTGGTTCATGTTTATTGCAGACACGACAGAAGTATTTGGGACATTTGATCTGACAGTGGCCTTCCTCATTGCAGTAGCGGCAGGTGATGGTGGTATAGTCGACGCCATTGCGGTCATCGAATGTTTCTTCAGAGGGGGCCCAGATGGATTGGGAGACATATTCTGGTTCTTCTTCTTTGACAGAAGGAGCAGGCGTATAGTTAATAGGACGAGAAAGTCTGACACTGAGAGAGATGGTCTCTCTTCTCTTCTGTCGGCTTCGGCGCGGGGATCCCAGGGAGTGGACAGCAAGTTGGGATCTGGGTGGAGCAGGGATGGGGGTATCATCATCTGAGGACGAAGGGGAAGTTGGGACGGTCTGTGTCATGGGTTCTGGAGAAAGGGAAATAGAATAACAAGAGGAACATAAATAATCGTCTGGTCTAGGGAAGTCAGGAAGAGCCATGGCCAACTCAATTCCTTTGTCCATCAAACGACAGAGAGTGAGGTATTTGACCTTCACTTGCTGGGAGACGACAAGTCTAGCTTTGTTGTCGATCATCATGGAGTTGGTATAGGCGATGGTGAGGTCGGCGGCATGGAAGGTGGTGATCTGTGCAAGTGCATTGAGATCTTCATAGAAAAATGATTCGAGGGGAAGGATACAGTCATGAGATAACAGGGCAGCTTCAACAAGGGCTTGTCTCTTACAGAGAGCAAGGTCAGAGCGATGAATGTCAAGAGAGGATGTGGAAGAGGAAGAGGATTTCTTGGAGGCAGGCATATTGCTTGTGTGTGGTCAGATGAGGAGTCTAGCGAGTCTGAGGCGGTCTTTATAGGTTTTCAGGATTTCTTGGGCATTGGCAAGTTCCTTTTCAGAAAGCCATGAGTTTTCAGAACTGGGATACCCTTTCCATGACACGAGGAAGCAGCATTTTCCTTTTATGTTTCCCTTGTGGGCGAGAACGGCTTCTATTTCGGATTCTTCATGTCCATTAATGAGGTCAGGGGGTGGTTCAGGGTAATTGGGTCCGTGGACTTCTGTTTCATGATAGAAGGATCATTCAGAAGCGTGGAAGATGGGGTGTGATTTCCAGGAAGGGGGGAGTCGGATCTTGAATGTGATAGGGGAGAGGACTTCTTCTACTTCAAAGGGTCCATATTGCTTAGGGGTGAGCTTCTTGGAGGGAAGGTGTGTGATGAGATGCACAGCAGAGAGCCAAACTTTGTCTTTAGGTTTCCAGGGTACAAACTTCTTTCCAAATGTCCGATCAGCCATGCGCTGCATTGCAAGGTTGTGGCATGATAAGGCTTCTTCTCAGATCTTCTGGAGGTGCTTGATTCATTCTTCTGCTGTGGGAATGGAAGATTCAGGGAAGGCATAGGGAATTCCTCGGGGTTCATAGCCCATCATGAGGAAGAATGGGGAGGCGTTGCAAGGTTCAGGTTTTCGGTGGTTATGGATGAATTCAGCCATAGGAAGGTGCTTGACCCATTCAGAAGGTGTGGATTAGCAGTAGATGCGGAGGTAGGTTTCAAGTTCTTGATTCAAGCGTTCAGTTTGCCCGTCAGTCTGAGGGTGGTAAGCGGTGGAAAGGGCAACTTCATAGTCAAGGAGTCTTCCAAGTTCTTTTGCAAGCTTGGATGCGAATTGCGGACCTCTATCAGAGATAATTTTGTTGTAGAGACCGAAGTGGAGGAAGACTTTCTTGAAAAAGAGTTGGGCAACTCCTCCAGCAGTGATAGTTTTCTTACATGGACGGAGAATTACCCCCTTCATAAGGCCATTGTCTACCACAATCATGACAGAATCATAGCCTCCCGATTCAGGGAGGTTGTTGATGAGGTCTATGGAGATCTGCGAGAAGGGGCGAAGCGCAGTGGAAGGTATAGGATTCAGGGGAGGGGAAGGGGTGTGTGTGTTGGATTTCATTTGCTGACAAAGGGCACAACCCTCTATGTATTTTCAGATGAATGTACCCATGCCTGGCTACCAATAATCTCGCTTGATGAGTTCTTCAGTCTTAAAGTGTCCGGGGTGACCGGCAGTGGGGTGATCATGGTGAAGGGATAGGATCCGGTGACAGAGTGAAGGGGGGACATAGGCACGGTTCTTGTAGAATAAAGTTCCATCATCAATCTTCCAATCAGAAAGTGCGGATTTCATAGGAGGTGCATTCAGCCCATCAAGGGCTTGCTGAGCAGCGAGGATAACAGGGTCGGAGAGGGTCAGGGATGCGTCCTTCAAGGACTGAGCGAGGTCTGTGTCTAGGATTCGTATAAACAAGGAGTTGGGGAGTAGCATGACATCAGTATTGTCAGAGGCTTCGGCGGAGTGATCAGGGCGGCAGGATAGGGCATCAGGAGCAGCGAGTTTGCTTCCTGCGACATGGTGGAGTTCTAGGTCAAATTCATTGAGGGTTAACTGCCAACGTGCTTGGCAGCGGGTGAGGTTTTGTGCGGAGCGGAAATAGAGGAGGTTTTTGTGATCGGTGAAGACTATCACAGGGTGAGGGTTTCCTTCTAGATAGTGCCTCCATGCTTTCAAGGCACAGATGATGGCGAGGAGTTTCTGATCATATACCTGGTAGTTTCATTCTGCGGGATTAAAGGACTGGGAGAGATAGCCACATGGGTGATAAGCTCCATTCTCATCTGTCTGAAGGAGAACAGCTCCAGTGGCCACAAGGGAGGCATCAGTGGCAAGGGCGAATTGTCGAGAAGGGTCAGGGTTGCGGAGGACAGGTTCCGAGAGGAAGCATTTCTTCAGCTTCTCAAAGGATTTGGTGCAGGAGGGTGTCCACTCGAACTTGGTGTCTTTCTTGGTCAGATCGATCAGGGGTCGGGCGAGGTCGGAGTAGTGGGAGATGAAGTGGCGGTAGAAGTTGCAGAATCTGAGGAACAATCAGATTTCTTTAACTGAGGAGGGGGTCTGCCAATCTTTGATTCCAGAGAGTTTGGTGGGGTCCATGGCTACTTGGCCAGGACAGATGATCATGCCAAGATAGTCAACTGCTTGGACATCAAAGAGACATTTTTCGGGTTTCAGGAAGAGGGTTCCTTTTCGGATGATTTCAAGGACGCGGCAGGTTCTTTCACGGTGTTCTTCTAAAGGTTTTGAGAATATAAGGATGTCATCCATATAGACGATCATCCATCCTTCGTTAATTTCTTTCTGGAACATCTGGTTCATGTATGCTTGGAATGTAGCTGGCAAATTGCACAGCCCAAAGAACATGACTTTTGGTTCGAAGAGTCCAAATGAGGTGGTGAACGCTGCTTTCCAGTGATCGTCGGGGTGGATCAGGATGTTGTTGTATCCAGAATGAACATCCATTTTGGTGAAATATTTCACATTGTGAAGCTTTGCGATCAAAGGTGAAATTAGGGGGAGGGGATAGGCATTCTTTATCGTCCATTCATTTATGTAACAGTAGTCTTGGCAGGGTCTGAGGGAACCATCCTTCTTTCCTACAAAGAAAAAGCCACTCGCTTGAGGTGACTTCGAAGGCTGGATAAAGTCCTTGGTAATATGCTCATCAAGGAAGGCTTTCACAGCATCAGTTTCTTTAGGAGATAGGGGATAGGTTTTTGCTGATTTCGGGATGAAGCCTGGTTTGGTTTCGGTTCTATGGTCAACACCAGGTCTAGAGGGAGGAAGCTTATTTAGGCCGTCTTTGGTGAAAATATCAGTGAAGTCGTGGAGGTATGAGGGGACGAGCTCTTCAAAGGTCTTTTTCTTCTTTTCTTGAGTGTCTTTGAGGGCGAATTCTTGAGCTTTATTGCTGGTCTTCAGGTATTCGTCTTCTTCGGCCTTTCTCAGAATCCATTGATTCCTGAGGGGAGTAAGGGATGCCATACAGCGGATCTCGGCGGCAGATGTGCCATCGCAAGTGAGGGGAGTGTCGAAGGTGAGGTTTTCAAATAGGGTTACCTCAGAACCATCTTCAGCATATCTGATCAGTACCTCATCATCATTGAGAGCGTATGTTGCAGGGTCCTCTACCCTATAAGCAAGGAAGGTATCCTTTTCCCAAGGTTCGGTAGGGACGTCGTCCCATACATCCCAGTTGGTGTCATATTGGGGAAGAATGGTTACATTGGGCATGGTAGGGGGAATCTCCTCAAGGCAATCATGGAAAACTTCTTCATTATGAAGCTTGATTCGTTCGATGGTTCTTTTGCCATTCACAGGCAAGGGGTTTCGGATAGGGTAATCTCCATCTTTCTCAAGTTCTTTGGAGACGGTGGGTTTCATGCGAGTCATATGGATTCCCCACTTCTTCCGGTAGATGTTCTCGAGTCTGATGGATCAAGGGGTGGAAGGTGACCGGAGGGTGTCATTGGTCCAGTTAATATCAGGGTTCATGGCATTTAGCCAGGGTTTTCCGAGGAGAATCATGTCTTTGTTAGGGCTGGTCACCGTAACCGTATACGGTTACGGCCGTACAATTGTACGGTAGCCATACGGTGTACTCGATATTGTCGACGGTACGGTGCAGGTAACTATACGGTCATACGGTCAGTCAATACGGTCATACGGGAGACAAAAAACATCGAATTACTAGTACAGTAGCTAGTATGTAGTACAAACGAGTATCAGCTGGTACTAGTATCATTCAATCAATCACCATGATGGCATTACGAGCCAGGCGCAGCTGCTGTTTGACCAACATTAGTGTTCTAATCATGTTGGGTTGGAGACTAGCACGTTGAAGGGAAATAGTATTGCAACCGCCTGAAAAAATGCGCTCAACAGTGATGGCAGAGCCTACAGTATGCAAAATTAGCATACCTATACTAGACAATGGTTTTGAGCAGGTTAAACTCACCAGGAATAGCGAGAATATCGCGAGCCAGACGCGAGAGGTTCGGAAATTGTGAACAGCGGCCTGCCCACCATTGGATGGGGTCACAAGCATCAAAATCCTCAACAGGCAGCCTATAGTACTCCTCGAGCTCATCCCTTGAGTTCATTGGGCGTTTTTTGTACCGAGCTGTGAAATTGACATTCTGGGGTGATCCAGATAAGGTTTCCGAGTCTGCCGCTGCAGGTTGAGGAGCGACAAAGGAACTTGAAGCTTGCGACGAAAGGTAGTTGTCTTGATAATACTGACACAACTGATCCTTTGCATGTTCCAAGTGGCTTTGTAGCGTGTGGTCGTCGCCGCAGTCAGCAGAAAGACCTTCAAATGAAATTCGGGGGTCAAGGACTATCCAGTGTCAAGGAATAAGTAGACAGAACACCGTAGATACAAGAGAATACTTACGAGAAGACCATATGTATAATGGTGATTCATCAAACTTTGTATAATAATCACTCAATTTCCGATGTGCTTTGATGAGCGAGTCTTTGAGGTGAGGTGGTGTGTTATTTGGCAACTCGCGCAGAGATTCTTGCAGCAACTCTTGCAATCCACGGAAAATGGCCTGGGTAGATGACAGCATTGAACACTTGGCTTCCTGAATTGAAAACATGAGACTACGTAGATAAAATGTATAGATAGACCTACAGCGACTTGCTGATGCTGGTGGTTAAAAGCCTCGACAATATTGCTCGAGGCTTTTTCAAGCTGAAGCAGGTATTCAGCTGCCTGGGTGGGGTCAAGAATCTTTTTTCCCAATGCCATCACAACCTCGTCTTCCGTGGGTGGTTCCACACGATCCTTGAGATATAGATAGAGTCAATACAAGACTGGAAAGTGTGTTTTGATGTGACCGATTAAACCTGCCATTCATCAATCAATCAAGTCAGAAGCCGCCATGAAGTTAAATGTGATGCTTACCATTGAGACTACTTCGCATAGCCTTTGTAATAGTCAGAATTTTGCGCTGACCATGGTAACACTTGTAGTGTTTGTCACCCTTGGTTCCCTCGACGCCCTGAGCATTCTTATCCACCTCTTCATAAAAGAGGTAGATCGGGTTTGTGGGTCCACATGGCTGGAAATTACAGGCTTAGGATTGTTACAAATGATGATAATATTGAAAGGTTACCTTTGGACGCTTCAGCCAAACATCAACTTGAGGGACTTGACTTGATGATGGCAAGAGAATGTTGCCGTCATCTTCGGCATCCTCGACACGAGCTCGCTTCGATAGTTGAAGTCCGTTGGCAGCTGAAGCATTTGCTGCAGCCTTCCGCTTGGATTTTGTGTTGGCTTTCTTGCGAAGCTGACGTGCATTGGGATCAGAGTTGCCACCACGAGGTGGGACAGTCTTCATGGGCAAAACATCTGCAAGCTGCAGAATGTAGTTAGTAACAATACTGAGCAATCAAAAAGGACTTACCTCGGCATTCAAGATCTCGGTGGTATCGCTCTCTGACCCTGATGAGGGAGACTGAGAACTGGACTCAGAGCCAGTGAAATCATCAGCATCAGCATCCAAGGCCTCCTCAACTGGAAGAGATGAGAAAAAATTGTTGGGGTCGACAGCAGCATTTTGCTTTTTGGGGGCACAACGAGAACGGCGAGGGCAGCGAGTGGGATTGTCAATATCTTCACCTTCGGCCTGGATAAGTGCATTCATCCGCTCCGTATTTTTGGGACGTTTGCCATGACCAAGAACCTCCTGAAAACCTGGGTTGACAGCAGCAGGTTCAGCATTCAGGGTGCTCGAGGAGGCCATCGATCGAAGTTGTATTTTCCAAAGGTTGGAGCAGGCAAGTGCATGTAGGGGAAGGGAGCAGAACCTTGTGCATATTTCGATCAGCATAGTGGTCATTCCCCCTGGATCGGGCACAAGAATCAACAGAGTATTCTGGACATAAAAAACATTAGAACTTGATATATTATAGATCAGTGTGAGAGAAACATACAGGTAGGTTGATAATCTGCATGCTGTCAAAGTCACGGCCACTAGTGAGGAAGCTAGATGTTGGAAGTTCAGGAATAAGCACTGCAAATAGTGTCAGTGTTGCCACTAGTAGTAGGTCGTTGTCGCCATCGATATCAAAAGAAGGCACGTGGCTGCCACAAGTAACATGACTCAAACACATTGGGCATTACACTATACTAATATTCACAGAACCGTATGTACCGTATGACGGCTATATACGGCCGTACACATACAGTGATATACGGTACTCAAATGACCGTACCCTGTAACCGTCAAATGTGACCTGGAACCACCGATGGTACGGGTACGGTAACTGTACTACGGTCCCATATAATCCCGTTGTATGGCCTACGGTGACCAGCCCTAGTCTTTGTTGCTCATGTTGAGGACATTGAATTTTCTGATCATGACTCAGTCATCGATTTTGATTGCAAGATGGCAGAAGTGCGTGACTGTGTGCTTGGAGAGTTCTCCATCTGCGGTGCGGATCTTGATTGGTTTCGAAAGTTCATGGGTTCGGATCTTGTGTTTTCTGACAAACATCCAATGAATGAATGTTGCAACTGCGCCAGTGTCAATGACAGCAGTGGTTTCCAGCGATTTGGTTCGATGTTTGGAGGATAAGATGGTGACCGGTGTAGAAACAACAATACTGTGAGGAGCAAATGAGGCTCCAGACTGTATCTAAAAAATGTTGTAGGTCATGCATTGCCTAGTCTGCTATGCTTGAGGTGGCAAGCACGTTCGACCCTTAAGGGGAAGCAAGTGCAGCGAAGATCTAGAGGTACGTGCTGAAGTGAGGTGCAAGAAAGTGCAGGTGCACATGGGTATTAGCGTGAAGCACGGGAAAGCGCGCGCGCATATGCAGAAATGATAGAGAGACTAGACTTAAGTGATAATATGATGCAAGAGATGTCAGAGTGCGAGATGTAAAGGAATAGAGCTCTACTATGTTCTGCTAAGTAGTAAATAAGTAGTAACAGGTAATTGGGAGGTAAAGTTGTGGGAAAAGTAAGTGGTAAAAATGGAAAGTGAGTAGTACTATGTACTACTGGCGCTTATATAGTGCGCCTAAGCGCTGTAATGCGGAGCTGAAGCGCTACCGAGTAGGTATGTAAAGATATATATGAGTGAGAATCCATGATAAAAATAAAGACAGAACAATATGCAAATGAGAGAAATAGAAATATACGCACTAGAGGGCTTGGTGGATAGTGGATGGGTGCTTCTGGATGGCTGGCGCTATAGGGCGCTCAAGCGCGGGAACACGCGCGCACATATACATCGTGAAGCGTGGGAATGGTGCGCGCATGGCGTGCATTGCGCGGGAAAGCTGCGCCTCATAGTGGAATACCTGTGGATAGCACATAGAGTGATGCTGCAAGTTTGTGCTATGTACTCCTAGTGTAAAGCGCCATATCACACCATGAGAGGCATGATTCTCTACACCGGCACTCTAAATTCTCTGGTCTTTCCTACATTCTTGATGGTACGTACATCGAGACAGGGGAGTTCTAACGTTGTGGTAGGCTCCCATTCTAAAAATCCATTCTCTTGGTTTCTAGACCTTCATCGTCAGATAGATCTTTGACCTTGCTTGAGGTCTGTTCATCATCAGGTTCTGCACGCCTTACTGGTTGCTTCCCTTTATCTTTCTTTCAGGCATCTCTGGTTTTCTTGGGGTGAAATGCAGGGTCGTTGGCATGATGTCCTGCTTTGTGATATAAGAAGCATAAGCCCTTCTTCATATGCTCGGTTCTGGCTTCATCAGTCATGTGGTCCATGTCCATGGCATTAGGATTGTGGGTTCTGGTGGGAGTATATCGTGGAGTCGTCTTCCAGTTATTCTGGGAAGGGTGGCGGGATCGGTGGGACATCAGGAGCTGGTATGCGGACTCCATTTTGACAACCTTCTTGACTAATCTGTCAAAGGTGTTGGGAATATCTCCAGAGTTGCAGATCTTCTGGACGACTTTGGGTTTCAGACCATGGAGGAAGTAGTCTTTCTTGGCGGCGAAGTTCATGATTCCAACTTTACCGCAAAGCTGTTTGAAGGTATTGATGTACTCGTTGACATCTGCACCTTGTTTAAGGTTGTACAGTTTGTACAACACAGTACCCGCAGAGTCGATGGGGTTAAAGGAAGCGGCAAAGTCATCTAGGAACTTTGCCCAGGTTCCATAGCCATTAGGCTGTCTGGTTTCTAGGTTGATCTCCATGGCATGGTTGATGAAATCTTCCATCCATGTGGCTGCAGTGCCTTCCTTGAAGGAGAGGGCGAAGCCAATCTTCGCAGTATTGGTTTTGTAGATCTTCTCATTGATGGTGAGATAGAGGTGGACGAGTCGGATGAACTTAGAGGAGGAGTCTCTTTCTCTGTTGAAGTTAGGGGGAGTGCCAATCTTCTTTTCTACAGGTTTAGGCATGTCGTCTTCAGAGTCTTCTTTTTTTTCTGAGGGTTCTTCATCAGGGTCATGTGGAGGAGCTTCGTATCTAGCTCGGTAATGAATCTGAGGTTCTGGTGTAGGTGCGTCAGGGATGTCTTTGTCTTGGTCTATGACGAGAGGGGTGGGTTTGGCTGAAAAGTCAGTGATTGGTCCAATTGATACTCTGCTACCACCAGGGATTGATGATGGTCCTGGTTGGTTGAGAAGTAATGCAAAAGGATTCGGTGGTGTCTGGGGTCAGTTCTGTCCAACTGTCAGGGTTGGGGATCTAGGATATGGGTTCAGCCCAAAGGCTTCTTGGGTGGCGTGTCTCTGCTTTCGTGAAGAAGATGTGCTGGTCAAAGGTGGGCCCCGCTGGATAGCTAGGGTATCAGGGGAACTTGAATCTTTTGTTACGACTCAGATAGAATCTAGTGTAACAGCTCCAATAAAGGAGATCAAGAGTATGGGTTCAAGTAATCGACAACCAGAGGTAGAACTCTGGCGAAGTGATCGAGTATAGGCTAGTCTCTTCGCAAAGAGCTAGATCAGAAGGCACCCTCAGGTCCTAGTCAAGTATCAGAGAGAACTGAGTAGATTCAAGTTAAGGAAGATGTACAGAGGTAACTAGGGTTTATATAGGTAAGAAGGGGTGCACAGACCAGTCCATGAGGCATTGTAGAGGTACAGGAAAAGGAAGTCAGAGATAAGGAGTATCCTTATGGTTGACATGAGGTGAACTAGAAGTGAAGCGGGAATCAAGAAGTAAGACGGGGATCAAGAAGATGGTACATGCGTGGTCCTGCAGGTGTGAAGAGAAAATGATGGGGTTACTGTAACAGTCTTTTCTTACAAACACTGTACAAGCTGACTTGTATTTAGGTGTACCTAGCTGCAATTGAGGGCCATGTCCCTCAAGACATGGTGCGCACATTTAGTGCATTCCTCAATTTCTGTTATCTCGTACGGCGCGAGGCTCTCACCGAAACTGACCTTGTCCAAATCCAAGATGCCCTTGATCACTTCCACAAATACCAGGAGATCTTCAAAACAACCGGTACTGTCGCGACATTCTCCCTACCACGCCAACACTCCCTGTGTCACTACATACTACTCATTCAACTTTTTGGGGCACCCAATAACCTTTGTTCTTCCATTACTTAATCTAAGCACATAAAGGCCGTAAAAGAACCCTGGCACCATTCTAGCAGGTTCAAGGCACTCGGTCAAATGTTGCTGACCAACCAGCGTTTAGACAAACTCGCGGCTGCACATGTGGATTTTGAGGCACGTGGCATGCTTCATGGCTCTTGCTTATCTGAGGCTTTGCGAGAAGTCCAAAGGTGTATGTGATCTCTTGAACCGACAGTTTAACCCTTCTCACATCCATAAACAGGTTCGAATGATCACAATGACAGTGAGTCAGATGATGACATGGATATGGCACTTGAGTGTCTCCCTAGGTGTCTCCAGTTCCATGAACCTCAAAATCAATCCATTGAGGTAGACGCTGGTGACATTCTTGATGGACCAACTGTAATAGAATCCCACATTGAACTTGCAGTGACACCGCATGAGTCAATTTATTCACCTGTTGACCCTTTCTGATAATGCTTAGGTTGTGTACGAAATTTTCATACACTCGGCTTTGAACTCAGCCTTCTGTGCTTCCCTCTCATGATCCAAGAATTTAACCATGACCAGCAACATTTGGACAACCCCAACCCTCCTGAGTACGATCCCACGACAGCTCAATTATTCTTGGGGAAGTTGACCATCTTTAACTCTGCTGCAGCATCATTCTATGCACCCAGAGATCTGAGTGGTACTGGAGGTATGTGCCGGGAGCACATCCAGGCAACACCATCATGGCATGGTGGCCCTCACAGGAACGACTGCATCTTCGTTAATGTGGGCGCCGACTTAGACTCTCCCATGGGTGGACTTGCAGTTGCACGGGTCTTGTGCTTTTTCTCTTTCAGCAATCGGACATCGCATTATCCCTGCACTGTTGTTCATTGGTATTCTCATGTACTCAAGGGACATGATCCTGACACAGGCATGTACATTGTCACTCCCACAACAAATGATGATGACACTCCAGATGTCTCTATCATTCATGTCGACTGCATTTTTCGTGCTGCCCATCTCATTCTAGTATATGGACCAGACTTTATTCCTGTCATCAGTCCGCACGACTCATACGACATGTTCAACTCATACTATGTCAATAAATATGTGGATCATCATTCTTTTGAGATAGCATGATTTAAGGTATGTAATTGTCTACTTAGATTTCAGTATATATCCAACTCACATGTTTCTTAGGAAAGATCCGCCTGAGCTCTATCTGTACAGCAAAGGTGGCCCAGGCAGATGGCCTTAATCCTCATTATCTGCCTGTCAACCTTCATTGCATTATTCAGAATGCCACACAAATCTTCCAGCCAGATACACCATCACCAAATTATTCAACATTGATATTTCTAGCATCAATGGCATCACCCCAGCACTTCCGGGCATGGAGGACTGTACTGCATGCATTGTCTCAGCTTCATCGTCTCCAGGTATACCAAAACATGAGCTAGTGTCAGTACCACTGTCTTCTATGAGAATTCATATTTCATCAGGCTGACGGCCTTAATCCTCATTATCTGCCTGTCAATCTTCATTGCATTATTCAGAAAGCCACACAAATCTTCCAGCCGGATATGTCATCACCAAGTTATTCAACATTGACATCTCTAGTGTCAACAGCATCACCCCAACACTCCCGGGCATAGAGGACTGCACTGCACGCATTGTCTCAGCTTCATCGTCTCCAGGTATACCAAAACACAAGCCAGTGCCAGTACTACCATCTTCTACGAGAATTCATCAGATGCCAGCATCAATCCTCATTATCTGTCCCTCCACCCAACTACTGCCTGCCATCCACACCAGTATCCAACAACACAACACCCTTCCCATTGCGCTGTAGATCGGCACTCGCCTCCCCGTTGTCAATTACTACCCACTATAGAACCATCAAGGTAAGTATTAGTCAAAATTACAAGACATACAGTAATGCTCACCCTACACACGACACACTCTGTCTCGTTTCCTGCGCGACAGCCACCCCTTCACCCTCTTCCAATGCCCCAGCTTCACATCTGTCCCTCCTGCTCTCACCTCCACTACCTCTGCAGTCGCCTCAGCTATGATCGCAGCCTCTATGCAAGCCATCAAGTTGTCCCACTGGTGCCTCCTTCCTTGCCTGCGACAAGCAGATTTCGGAGTCATATAGCACACTAGCATCTCGTCAATCAATGATTGACATCATTAGAGTAGTAGTAGATAAACTTACTGTTTTTTTCGTTGAAGTATAGCAATTGATATTGTTGATGGACACGCGCTTATTTTCAAGGAATCGGAACGACAATAAACATAAATAAACTATAAAATTCTCGTGTACTGAGTAGTAGCCTTAATCTCATTGTTGTGCCTTCACTGCCTTGACCGCCTTGAATTTAGCTTAGGTCCTTAGTTAAAAGTTTAAAAATGTGCCTTATATTCCTTAACTGCCTTGACCAACTTAGTGCTATTTTTAAGTAGTTTAAGGAACAAAAAGGAAGCCGGTGATTTCCTGATGTTTATCATGCTAACTGATCATTTTTAGTCACTTATGTGCATACCACCACTCGCACCCTCTCATTCTTCCCATCTCATCCCTCCTTCCACTCCTTTTACTGTTCTGGCGTGTTCCAGTGTCCTCCGCATATGTTCGAGGCACATTAGCATTTGCTGATGTGTGCCAAGCATGTGCGCTAAGCACTGGTCTTCATAGTGACCTGTGGGTATATTCTCCATCCTCGCCACCCAGCTACCTCCATCCTCATCGTCCAAGCAAAACCATCAATGACAACATGCACCGAGTCGCCAAGTTTCTTCCTGGCATACTGCAGTATGGTAGGAGGAACAGGCCATTTGCAGGACTGGCTTGACCACAGCAGAATGAGAGGGCGTGCAGGGATATGCCAGATGCCAGGCTGTGATGCGGAGGGCTATGTGAGACTGATTCCTAGCCCTGTGGAGTGTAGTACCAGTTCTTTTGCAGTTACCATCGCCTGTCACCCCATAGGATATTGATGCTTACATATTAATATTAACCTGTTTTGATGGCTTCTGTCTGATGTATGAGAAGAGTAGGATACTGACAAGATCAGGAACACAGATCCAGAATACTGCTCAAGATCCGGGCAAGATTGGGCAAGATCTGGGCAAGATTAGGTAGTGCAAGATCTGATGTCAGTGCGGTGTAGGGATTTATTTCTGGCTGGGCTTGTAGAGACTGTTTTTACCTTACCTTATGTTAGCACTTTTGTAGCTTACATAAGCAAGTTATCTTCTCACCAGTTACCAGTATGAGTCAGAGTACTCAGCAAGTTTTCATGATATTTCCTCTCCTCTGAGCCTTGAGCCTGGTCCAGAAACCCTTTAGGGTCGAATAGCAGCTAGGTTCTGCAAGACCCAACATTGTTCAGACTCACCATCTGAATTGTTGTACCTTCACTGACCACAATGCCTTTGGCTTTCTTGATCCAGGTCAGGTAATCCGAAGTGCGCACCTTATTCCAGCTTTTGCCTCTGGGCGTAGAGCCACCTCCATTTGCTATGGAAAATTATTCGCTCATCAGAGTGGTGATTTAGATGATTGGGAGGCATACTACATTGGAATGTAAGCGAAACCTCCAATCCTGTTATCCTGACTCACACTGTAGCTCACTCAGTTTTGTTGACTGGGATATGCTTATGCATTATACACCTCATGGAATAGAGCATCCAACGGTCGTGCGGGAGATATTACAAAATTGTGCCAATGCGGAACTCATGGACAACGCACCGTGCGAGCATAGCATCTAACCCTGCGAGGGCGATGTTGAGCAGGGTGGGAGTGACAATAACAATGAAGGAGAAAGTGGTGATGACAATGAAGGAGAAAGTGATGATGGTGACAGTGAGGAGTCCGATGCTCAGGATTCAGATGATCAGGAGATGGAAGATGGGGAAGGTGAGGAAGACGATTTTATGTCCTTCTAATTCACAACAATCGTCAAAGCTTGTACCTGCCACCACTTTTCATTTTCAGGCTAGATCACCATCATTCTGTGCTCCATCGCTTTCACTCCACAGCTCGCAAAGGGCAATTTGTTCTGTCTGGCTCTCAGGCCACTCGTACAAAGGTTTCACCACACTTATCATAGCTTTCGGGCTGCATCATGGGTGTACATGGGCCATAGCGCACTGAGCATCACCGTCAGGATATAAGAGTTATCTGATTTGATTCACAAGTAGTACAGATTTGAGATGAATAGCTAGATAAAAGCAAGTCATAAGCCAAAACGCCCTCAGATCGGGACAGATGTGAGCCATGTACACCAACCCGACAAACATTGAACAAGAGATAGAGATATACATCAGCATATCTTGGTTATGCATCAGCAGGAGATCTGTTATGGAACAGTGAATGACATACCTGGATATTCACAGTTCTCAATGACATCCATCACAGGCTGCTCTGCCTTCAAAACTAGCACCAGCAAGAGAAAGAGGACAGTACGAGTTATGACATGTGCGTATGTCAAGGTGGTCCTCACCTTTTTGTGTGGTGTTCCCCAAGTGTGTAAGTCATGATGACAGAGCACATTGAAAGACATCTTTATAACAAGGTAATGAGCCTCAATACATCCACTTCATATCACTCACCAACTAGAAGCCGCGCCATGATATGCAGGGGCACCCGGGTGTAGTAGAGGACAAATGTTAGCTTGAAGGCAGGAGAGTCTGCGTACTTTTTCAAGTTCTCAACTTATATCACGTGATGAATGATGATATAATACTGTACCAGCTATGCACAAGCATTTGAAAAGCTTGAACAGCATTGAATATTGAAGGACCTTCTCCATAACTAAGACCGTTCTCGTCACTGCCAGCGAGAATCGTCCAATTTCAGATGGCTAGTACCACTAGTTCACTGCCAGCCTTCCTTCAATTTGCTCGTATGCAACTGCATAATGTAACTCATACTAGAGACCTGCTTTGCTCCTGGTATAGTTTTCCCCCATCATCCACCCCACAGCCCAAACTGGCTAGACTCAATAAACAGAAACATCATATTCATGGCTGTTATTGCAATAAACGCTGGCGTCTTTCTTCTCTGGCATGGTGCCAAGTTCACATATGTCCATAGGTGCTACACTCTCATTAAGACCAATGTATAGGGTGCAGCTAACAACCATCCACAGCAAACCACCCATGACCCCACACTCTGAATATTCCCTTGGAACAACTTTTCAGTGAATTGGGAGAACATCACCTCCAGTCACGCGTGTGTCTGACTCTTGTTGGGCATTGCTTCAGATCTTACCTGATTCATCTGGCAGGTGGATGCTCATCACCTCATATTTCTCCCATCAAGACATAGAGCACATATTGTTCAATGGCCTTTCATTCTACTTTATGTCCCCTGGTGTCATGCAAGTCCTTGAGAACTTGTGTTTCTTGGGCCTCTACTTTCTCAGTATTTCTCCACTTCTCACTCACGCAATGCCACTAATGAAAAATACTAGGCGGCATCGCATCCAGGGTGACGAGTCTCGCATGAATTCAACTACTCTTCACACTGCACAAGCGGTCTGTCCATCTCATGTCAGATCTTCAAAGTGTTCAAAGGGTATTGGTGACTTTTTCAATGCTTTCTTGGCTGTCACAAATCTTGTGGGTACCTTCTTATGTCTTTGAGTAACTTAGTGTTGCTTATCTGCTCATTAGGTTTTTGCATATGCAGGTACGGAATTTTGTGATGTTAATCGGCATTCCTCAATACTTTGCTAGGGCACTTCATGCAACTTTTGGCATGGTATTCCTGCTGAAACTGACCTACGACAGGTTCTTTATTCTGATATATGAGATGCGTAAACCTGAGGACACTATAAAGGTCAGAATGCTCCTGTACTCGATGTTGTGACTGAAGGCCATTTTCAGGCAGCATGGTGTCTACAGGGCTTCGCTACAGTATTCGTTTTCAGCGTAGTCATGTATGTCAACATTGGAAACACAATCCAGCAGTCCCCGGTCCTCTTTTCTTTTCTTATGGTATGGGCAAAGGCAGTGTTTGCCATTGCTCTCCTAAATTTCCTGTTGTCAGTGATGCCTTGCTGTTTCGTTTAGTCCTCACTAATTCTTTTTCGGGAAGCTCTTCCAGGCTATATGTTCATACAGCTACAAAGCTGGTGTTTGTTTGCATATTTTGTCATCCAGAACACATCCATTCACATACCTTACTCGGGTGGACAGTTTGGACTCTGCTGTGTTTTGCAGGCACAGCTATTGCTGCAATTCCCGCCATTACAGTCCCAATATTTTCCTACCTAATTGGCATCACAGAAGCCCTCTTTGCTGCATGGTACACATAAGGTTTGGCCAAATTCTTTTGGTTACATGACAAATATCATCTCGAAGGTGGCATGGATGGGCTTGAACAACCACCAATTGGGATCACACTCGTGGTGTTGACTATTATTCCCGGCACTTCCGTCTGTGTCGCTGGGACTTATGTGTTGATAAAGGTCAGTGTTCGTGTCTTCGCATCTGACACTCGTCTCACTGTCAGTGATTGATGATAGCTCATCACCAAAGTATATGCCAATGGCCAAGTTGGGAAACCTTTCGTTTGCTAGGGGGGATTCTATTCTGGCATAATGTGTAATCTGGGTTGAGTCCTTTGAATTTAACTTTTAGAGCCTTTCCTAGGACAATTAAATCATAGATGTGGGCCTGACTGCTTTACTCTCAGCTCTCCTGTTTCTTTGTATCTAAATTTCCTGGTGGGAATTAGCAAATGTACTTGATTTTAAACATTTCTGTCTGCTAACAGTTCGCTTGGAGAAACCCTGACAATGCTAGAGAAGGTTAAGAACCATTGCAAGAGTGGTGCTGGTAGCGGCATGTCACAATTTTGTTATGAAGTCTAATGCTATTCTAGATTTGTTGACAAGTGCTAAAGGCACCTCCCACGACAAGGTCTTGGATGGTCTCTTAATTCTAGGGAATAGCACAGGTGAACCCCGGGGTATGAGCGGCGCAACCCCCACCCATACCTCATGATATACCCACACCCACATTGTGGGTGTGGGTTTTTTGGTGGGTATGAGGCCAAACCCACCCAGGGTATCACCCACTGATGGTATACCCATGGGTGGGTACTGTCAATTGTCAAAAAACTACGAGATACAAACAAATGTAGTAGCTACTTGATGATAATGCAATCCCACCCATCCTCCAGCTCTAGTTCCTCACCCTCCACATCAGTGAGCATGCTTACAGACATTATGTCCTCGGTCTTGACAAGGTTTAAGTGGCTCCAATAGCCAAGACATAAGAACGCACGAGTTGATTGCACATTCAAGCGGGAACAGATATGGGAGAGAATGAGCCATCCATGGCTGAAAAGCCGCTCAACATCGACTGAGGTAGCTTTAGACAAAATTTAGATATCAATTTAACTAAAAAAAAGGTTAGCACGTACCAGGAATAGTCAGATAATCTAATGCCATATGGGAGAGTCGAGGAAAGGTTGTGTGGTGCTCATGCCACCACATAAGGGGATCATCAACATGTTCCACATCAGCATTCAGATAGCGGTCAAGTTCGTCACCAAGATCAGTTGGTTTTGGAGGTGCGAGTGCAGGAATGTTGTCGAATATATTGTCCTATTGTTATAGTAAACTTAGAGGCACACCTTTGTGTTCAAGATGTGCGGAGAATGCTACAAGGGCACGGTGGTTTGGAGACGACCATCCGTCCATCATAAAATTAAGTTTGCCCTCGTATTCCTGGTAAGATTCATTAGTCTTCCTCTTGTGTCCAACTGATCTACATACATTTATCATTTTAGCAATTCATTGTCTTGTCTTCACAAAGACCAATCTAACATCACACGAGACAGTCGATGGAGATGGTATGTAGTATTTCGGTCTCCCTGTCTTCATAAGTGACTGAAATCCCCTGTCTTTGACAATGTCAAATGGCCATAGGCTTTCCGCAACCCAATGAACAAGTTCGGCTCTGAATGCAACTATATCAGCTGCAAGAATTCTCTGTCTCATTGTGATCCTACCTTGTCTTGGTCCGGGTATGCTGATGATGCGAGTAAGTGACCTTCCCCTTGCCTTTACATTTGAATGCGGTTGTAATTGATCCATCTTTCAGATATCCTGCGATGATCTTGGTCCGAACTTCATCTGCATTCCTGGCTTCATCAGCAGCTTGCAATACATCATCGCCCCAGCAGGACTTGACGTGTTTCCGCATATTTCCCGTGGATTGTGCATCTTTTTTGTCGAGGAAGCATCAAATCGTAACCTTGCATCCCTTGCCCATACACTTGAAGGAATGTGCACGACAGCCATCAATGGACTCTATAGCAGGTGTAGGGTCAAAAAAAGCATAGATCGGTGAGATCCATTCCTTCATTAACTGTTCTTTAGCTAATATGAGCTTGTATTACTTGGACTAGTGAAATCGGCCTTACTGAGTTCATCCTCCGCACACTCTTCCTCATCCGCGCTCACTTCATCCTTGTCCTCGTCGGTATTCATACCCGCTCCTCCCTCATCATCGCTGATGACAATAGGACCATGATGTAACACACTTTCTTCTTCCTTGGTATGAACTACTGCCCAATTTGACTTGGCCTTCTTGGAATGTGTACTAGTAGCAGTACTTTCATTATTCTTTCATTTGTTTGAGCCTTCCTGCTTCTCATCTAGCGCAGCTTTAGCTTTGTCCGTGAGTTTTGTAATACGCTTGGCAGCACCTGAGAAAAATGTGATCCATGCTGTGATGATCGTAAGGGTGCTGTGTTTAGGATTAGAGTTTAAGGTTCATGTCTAATGTGTGTTACTAAGTTTCAAAATAAGTCATGTTTGCTTACATACCCACCACCAGGGTGTGGGTAGGGGTATGGGTACCCAAAGTACAGACCCCACCCACACCCCAGAGGTACCCACACCCACGACCCATGTGGGTTGAGGATACCCATGCTATTCCCTACTTAATTCTAACCATATGTGATGAAAAATGAGAGCATCCGAGAGGTATGAGGGAAGTACACCACTGTCCTATGCTGATCTTCATTGCCACAGGTCACAACTTCATTACAAAGTCACATGCTATTCTACATTTGTTGACGAGTGATAAAGGCACCTCCCACGGGAATGTCTTAGATGAGATTATAATGCAAAGCAAAAGTAAGACAAAATGACAATACTCAAAATGATTGCCACCAGTATACTACCACCCCTCATCGACTGCAATGCAGGAATGTCATCATATTTTTGTGCACTACTCATGTGACTCTAAATTTGCAGGCACTGATGGCTATGTATCGAGAACTCAAAATTTTCACAGTCTAGATGATCATATTTAGTAGAGCAGAATTATATTTTCCTACAGTTCGCACGGCTACAATACCAAAGTCTCATCAATTCACTGATGTAGTTGAGCGGGTACAGCGGCACGCTCGCACGAAGGACATAGCAATTCTGTACTGATCGATATATACTAGTACAAGGTTACGGAGACAGCGAGAATCAAATACAACAGTCTGTCAAATTATGAGCCAATCAAACAGTGACGGATTCAGAAGGAAGCTCTGCTTTTCCCGTCAACGCAGCTATGCTATGCACGAGCTGTTCAACCTGTTTCACAAGTGCACTAAGTCGGAGATCTTGTCCCACGAAGCGAGATTCCACCATCGCAGCCAGCTTATCGACTCGTAAGGAAAGCGAAGTAGTCTCGTCCACGTTAGCCAAAGGTTCGACTGACGTTTCGATGCCTGTATCTTGAACTCGGTCTTTTAATCTTGACCAGCCAGTGTTTGTAAGGGTGGTGATCTGTGGCCACGTTGAACACATCGTGAAATGCACAATCGCCGCATAGGGCAATGGGGAAATGGCTTTCTGTAATAATTGTCAAGCTTTGTGCCCTGTTAGACGGATGGAAATCTGACCTCCGCAGTTAAAGCATACATAAAAAGTGCCCTTCATCTTGACGTCGCATTCAGCACAAGAATAGGCATCCTCGTTCGCGGCTGAGGTTCCAAGTATCCTCTCGAATGCTACTGCATGTTCCCATTGAGCTTCTCATCACCTCCCCGCAAATCAACAGATGCGAAAGAATCATCTGCTCGAGTGGCTGCTGTCGGATGCGGAAGTTCAGGTCCGTCTGATTGCGTTTGGCATACGTCTTCCGGTGGTGTTGTGGTGGGCAGAATATCAGATAAGAAATTCCTGGCATGCCACCGAACCCGGCTGCAGCGACTATAAGGGAGCACCATGCGGAAAACAAGCAAGTTGTGCGTCGCCTTGTGGTCCGATGGATATTTGTGTTTTGAAATTGGTAGAGATTGGCATTCTGAACACAAATCATACCCGTCTAGATATGATCCAGTTGTATTGTTGTTTTAATCGCACTCACCATCATCGCAGTCTATACAACGGTGATATACATCAGTAATAAGGGAGTGGCATGCGTCGCAGCAACACCTGAACACCAGATAAGTAGATAGTCGAAGAATGATAGGTAACAGAAGCTGTACTTACTCAAACAATCGTTTGTGTGTCTCAAGTTCAGCTAATGAACTCCAGCGTTGGACATCTGATTCAGGCAGCCCTTTGGACAGGGCTTTGAACCTTTGTTGTTGCTCGGGCGATAGGTAAGGTGAGGTTTCCAAAGGGAACGACTTTCTCTTATTGTGGAGCTTATTCAAGCACCACAAACGGATATATTCGTCCTTGGGATCTTCAGGCTGCTGGTTAAGGGCATATGCGACGAGCTTCACAGGCCTTTCTAACAATTCCTGGTCCTCTGTCAGACTGAAGGGACCAAGTTTCAACGCTGTCTTATCAATCTCCAGCTCAGTGTCGTCAAGCTCAAAATCATGGGCTTCCCAACATTCAGCGTCGTCTGCGGTTCGTTCTGGGCTGTACCAAAAGTTGTACTATTGCGGGGCGTCAGGGACCGGAAATAAATACACTGTTGCTGTCTCTACGCACCAAGCTGTGTGCATACCACGTGAACCTTGCTTTTGCATCTGTTCCTTGCTGGCGAAATGATTCTGTTGTAGAAGGAAAAGCGTATCACAACCGTGAGTTTAGGAGCGTACCTGCCAGTTGTTCAACACGCAGATCCACCGCTTCCAATATATCAGATATCGTTTGAGTTGCACATTCAAATTCTCTATCCACAAGAATTACTGTCCTGGCGAGTTTCATGATTTGTAGATGCCTCCTCGTAACGAGGTAAAGCACTGGCAGCAAGAACTGAACAAACATTCATGTGGGTATTCGGTACAAACGTTGAGTGAACGACGACTCACATTTTCGATGCGATCAGATCCGAAAAGTTTGAAGGAATCTTTGGAGTCGATTTCATACTTTACAGTGTCAAGTCTTTTCACCAAGTCCTTCTCCTGAACGTTGCGATATCTATCAGACAATCGCGTGAGATCTAAGTCTGAGTCCTCTGGCCCAAGCTCTGCAAGAGAGCGCACGAGCCGTTTGATGCCTGTTTGCATGTGTAAATATCCGCATTCAGAGGTGAGAAAAGCGCCAAACCCTGGATAGCATCTGAATCCAAGTACAAGGCGATACACCTCCCGTTTACCGGCAGTACGTCTGCTTGCGCATGAACCATGCTGTGCAAGACTTGTTCAATTCGTGTGTGGTAATGTTGGCTATCCACTCTCCAACCTTTGCTGATGTAAACGCTCCAAGTTCGACCTGACGACAATGACCAAAATACTCACCTGCAGCCCAGTATGCAAGTGCTTGAGGTACAATCAAGCCCGGAAGTATCGCGGAAGTAAAGGCATTAACTTCCCTTACGCTGATCAAGCCATTTGCGTCCTCGTCGAAGACTTCGGATAAACTCAAAATGTAGAAAACTGACAGATATTTCAAGCACCACTCGTCTGCATGGTCCTACTGGAGGAGACTGAGTGTGGGGTGTACTTGATGTCACTTTTGGGCGTGGAGCATCATTATGCAGGTTGGAGAAACGTTGCGTGAAATAATCATGGAGTTCTGCGATGAAGTATAGTATCTTGACACTTGTTGATCATTTCTTGAAGATGATAAGTATGTGCTTCGATCACGCCTGCACAAAGACGTGCCATTTCTTTCCAGATAAATTGGAGATGCTAGTGAGATTGACCGAGTTAGTGATGCATAGAATCGAGTTTCTTAATCCTTACTGGACCCTTGACCCGTTTAAATTTGGCGCCGAGAGCCGACATAATGCGCGTTTCAGAATCCTTGATGGCATCTTTGATCTCGGCTGTCTGTTTATCGAGCTTGAACATGAAGAGCGTACGAGTCTCGTCGAGTGAGCTGGCTACAGGAGTGCGCAATTCGTGAAGCAGCGAGGCACGAAGGCGGTACTGCTCCGCAACCGATCCGTGCGCCGATGGGGTTTGTGAAGCAGGCTTGCTGACATCTTTGGATGGGGCATCAGAGCGTGCTTGAATCTGTGCTTCCTGATGCTTGGCGAATTTCACTAGCTCCGTTAACCTGTCTTCGCTTTCGAAACCTGGATCCATTCCACCGCGCATGATCACTTCTTTCGCAAATCTCTTTTCGCGTTCGGTTTCAAAATATTGAGCCATTGCACCGTGAAATTTCTCTCCTTTCGCGATTTTCGCTTCGCGTTCACCTAGCATCTTGGTGAGATCCTCCAGCTTTTGATCGCAGTGTCGACTCCCAACGCCGTCCTAATGGCCAAGGCATCCCGAAGTTCCTGTATACACTGGGAAAAGTTCCCGCTAATCACGAGGAACTTATCCGCCCAATGGGATGATTTGAAGAATTTCAGGATGCAATTATCAATCCGGCGAGAAATTTAAGAATTCGAGATCAACTAACCGACGAATTTCGACTTGTAGTGGCATTCCCGCAATCCTCGACATTGCGCTTCATTTTATCCAAGACACCATCCAGTCGGCCCCGAATAGTGCCGCGAGGTCCTACAATGTCCGGGTCTCTAGTGTCCTTAAGTCTATCAACGGATCGAATCAGCGAAATTTGTGTTGAGTGAGCATCAACCAACGAACTGAAGAAGCATATTCATCATATCAAATGCCTTTGCAAGCATCAAACAAACTGTGCGATCGTTCTCTCTTCGCCTTATTTCAAAATTCACGACAGCCTTGAAAGCGATTATAGCCACTGGAAGTCATCTTAGCCGAAGTAGTAATGTCGACAAGTTGAATACTCACCACTAACAAAAGGATGGATCTGTTGCAGAGCATCCAAGGCATCCATCACCTTCTTTGCCTCTCCACTTGGAGATTAAGTTCCCTATGCGAGGACGCGATGATCTAATTGTTAAGTGGGCGGATGGAGTGACAGCGACGGACCGGCCTGGTCCACATTTTTGAGCATTCTAGCCGACGTCGATTTAGAACTTGTTAGGGCATCATACAATGCCTTCTGCGCTCGTTCCGTGGTAATAGCGGACATGACTTGCTATTAATGAACCTCAGAGGTTCTGTAGAAGAGAAAGAGGTTGTTAAGCAACAAGGGAGGTGAGTGAAACAAAAAAGACGATCTATAAACGAGCTCACTAGTCGGTTTATATCCATAGAATCTGATTCTCATAGGCGCTGAACCTCGTGTTCCATCATAGATAAGCCTTGTTCTGCATAGCGGCGGCGTCTGACACAGCGCTAGATGCGTATAATCACTAGGGAGTCAGGTTGACCCCACCATTAGCGCAACCTGCAAAATGGTCTCTCCTAAATGAATGAAGATAGCCGCACAGAAGATCACTAGTATGTAAATTTGAGCGAGTGCTAGCGCTTGGGGCTTCATGCAACTCACCAAAGTTTTGGCGTCAGAGGGAGTCTTTTCGGGTCATAGACCATATATCCGAGTCATTTGCATCTTTTTCTTTGGATATATGTGGTTGATGCGGCACATTGTGACACAATACTCGAAGTGCCGTCTGGCAGGACTCTCGCAGGTAAGCATCAAAGGAACACTGCGATGGAAAAGGTCAGTAAATAAAGATTAGAGATCTCGGTGATCTCGGCAAGTTTTTCATGACAGGATGATTTGTAGTTGCTAGTTTGTTGCCTCGAAGCCAGAGGTGATCGCTCCTAAGATGCACTCAGGCTAATAATTTGTGGGTAAGAATGAAGTTGCACAACACTGATCTGGCATAACACTTAAGCTTCATGTGGCAAGGCATAATTTGCGACAAACGTGATCGTCACCGAGTGTCTGAATTGCGCGAGGGTACTCCCACCGATTATGCAGCATTAAAATCCATCGTTTATGAGGAACTTGGCCCTGACAGGATAGACAGGCCATAGACGAAAGAAAATATGTAGTCGTTCGTTCTCTTTTCAATGCTAATCAGTACTCACGAAGGTCAACTTCCAGCTAGTATACACAGCCACCCGCACAGAACCGTGGTCATCAGAAAAGCGTGGACTCGATAACTGTTGACATTGTAAAACGTGAAGCGCTACGTATGTTAGGACAGTTGGATGTCCGCCTACTCCGATGGTCAGAAGATTCTGCCTGTTAACAAAGAGATCAGTATTTGGAGCGTTTAATTTTCACAAGCACACGCACAACAGAATACAACACCGGTCTCCTCAATAGAGTCATTTTCTGCAAGGTCTTCTGTTTGTCGTCAATCAACATGCTAGTTGGACAGTGCAGACATGCATACCGATACTGGCCAGTTGATCGACAACTTGGTTCATCTGGTCTAACGTCCAGAACATGAACGGACGAGACGCGATAGCCTCGACCCACTGGCTACCGCGAGTGAGAATGACGATCCATTGGTGAATCGTTCGACTCCACAGTCTTAAGGTCTAAAGGTTTGAGAAGAAATACACCAGAGTCTAGGAAACGGCGACAATATCATTACATAATATTGGATCTGAGACTGAATGTCATTATTGATAATTGTTTGCTTCGATTAATTGTCACATCTTCATCGACCACTCACGAGTCACACCACTATACTGTGCTATAAACGGAACAATTACGGTAAGAAAATTGATCGATCTTTCCAACGCCCCTATTGATATTATGTAAAATGACAGCCAAAAAACATGTCCCGCGTTTTGCATAGTCCTCACGTCAGCATTAACGTCGACAACATCGTAAGCTTATCGGTCATTCTCACCCATACCAAAACTCCCATTTTACAGACGCAACTTCAATACCTCGCGTCAAAGGCGGTAATGTGTTCAGTACCACGTCACCGTGACGCAGTTCCTGACTTACAGACTCGAGGTCCCCAACACGCCCACACCGTGTCTGATGAAGCGGTTGATACGCGACTGTGCACGCGGTTGCGCTAACCTGACACAGCGCCTAAGATCGGCATTGCGCAGGGTGAGTCGTTGTTTTATGGAGAAACCTTCAAACTAAATGATGCGCAGAGATGAAGCTTATTCAAGCTGATACCATAGTCCATGACCCTAATCATGCCCCTCACAATACCAACCACCTCTTGGCCTTCTAGAATTACATGTTACTAGGACTGACACACATATTTACATAGGGGAGCCTCCGATGATCTATGAAGATCATCAGCATCGCGCGCTGTAAGCCATCGTGTTATTGCAAAAATTCTTAACTGACAAAGTGTGCAGGGATGCATATACGAGCTCAGGCTGATACCAATAATCCCATCTCCTATCATATCATATTACAAAATGCCAACCAATTAGGCCAGTGATGGATAAATGACCATTGGCATCAGGACGTACCAAGTGAATACACGCTCCAATCATAACAGTAATATTGCATAAAACTTACTGCCTTGGTGACAGTTATAGGTATTCCATGCTTCAATTTCAGGGACGCCTGCATCGATCTACAAACATGCCAGAAGGTAGTACATCTGACAATGCATCCACTTTGCGCGCATTTCTGAGATGGATACGGTAGGGGCGTCCTCATCGTATACATGCCGCTCCCAGGCTCAGTGTAGGGTCCAGGGTACGTACCACACACATATATTGTGATCTGACCCACGCTCGATTGCATGCATAATTCCTAACGTGCCATTGGGAAAGGTCCAACAAAGGCATGTAGTGCGGATCTTCTTTCCCCGGCTCTACAGTGCAGACGGTGTAGTTCTGGTGTCTCAAGAAGATTTGGCCCTCCTTTACGACCATTGCCTGCGCCCCACACTATTAGAGGTTCTTCTCCACTCGCTGATCGGGCGCCGACATCATACGCTGCCGCATACATGCAATTAAAAACTCGCACCGGAGGGCTCGCGTTCAACACCCTAGACGTCCCTTGAAATAGATTGGAAGGAGTTGCTGCAATACCAAATGTCATCCTACGAGTCTTGCCACCAGGACCTCCTCAGGCACCTTATGCCTCTCGCATGTCCTCGAAAAGTCGCTGCCTTTACCAGGAATAAGAAAAAGTTCCACTTTGACCGCACCCTACAGATGGAAGAATTAGCCGGCTTCCGTGCAACTACCGCCGATTTCACAGACAGTGATGGAATAACATACGTGCAGGCCTGTACCCGCGGTGCTTACGGGTCGGTGTGTACACGTACCCGTGGCGGGTGCGGTGTTGGCGGGTACGGGTACGGTGTTGAGTTTCCGACCCGCGGTGTTACCCTTGCGGAACCCTAGGTGCACAATGGAAAACTGAGTACAAGAGAAGTCGTGCAATGCTTTTTGACCAAAAAAACACTGATGATAATCGGAATTACATTACGTACTGTTCCAAGCAATGGTACCCACATATTTTCGTCCACAGTGAAGACATAATAATATGACTATTGCTGTACGCCGTGGGCTGGTTCGGTCACGTTGTTTATGCAGAAGCATTTCACGGTGATCTCATCGTTTTCTTGTGTTGTAGCTTGATATCTGAATCGACTGACCTTTTGAGTTCTACGTAGAGTTCAGCCATTTCAGCATCCAGAACATCGTGCCGGTGATCAAAGATGGAACAAGATATAGCGAGACGAAAGTTGCACAGCTGGCAGAGACGAGTCCAACAATCTCGAAACTGACGACGCGTGGAACTGCGAACACAGCAGCAAAAGCGAGGAGCGTTGTGATGGGTGGATTAGATGAAGAATCGGACACCTCAAAGGCCGCCGTGCAGTGTACGTTAGCGCAACCGCGTGTCAATGGTGAGGTCGACCTGACGCGAAGGATGTAAATCTAAGGAGTGAATTAACATCGCCAGCAAAGCAGACTGACCTTAAGCGAGGGTATCATTCATGATGCGGCAATCCCCGATTTTCCAGTGCGGGAACTTCGAGGATATGTAGGAATTGGCCGGTCCGTGGTAACTCTTTGCAGATTGCTCACTCGCTCACCCACTCGGGCCCAGGTTTGCGGTCCGAAATTGTCACTGCTTCTGATGGTAATGGCGCGCTCACGACCCACGCCCAGTTCGAGATTGCATGTAGTCTGCATTCTGATGTTGTAATTGAGAATGTGAATACCTATAGCTACATCCTCTAGATTTTTGAAGACAGAGATATTACTGTGGCCGCATCCGAGCCAGACTTGGACCATAGCTAGCAATCACCAATACAACTAAGAGACACGCCACGATGCAAAGAGTAACGATGCATGCAATAATTATGGGTGCAGATGGACTCAAGTCCGTAATGACACCTGAAAGAAATCCCAAGATGGACCCGATCACACTAACCAGTCTATGAGCGATGCAACGTGATCATGACCAGAAGGTTGCTTACCTTAGTACACAAAAAAAAGTGGGTATGCTTGTAATGATGATAAGCATCATTTTCTTCTTACGAAGGTAATATGCCTAGCGGACAATGTCAGGGTCAGGATGCAGAAACGTGAAGTAAAGCTAACCGCAAAATCTAGGGATCCCATTCTCTCGCCGAAGTGTTGCACCATATTTCCTGCAAAAATGCAGCCGACACCTAAAAGCAAGGAACAGGAGCACAGCGTCTGTGCGATTGCTGATGTTCCTAAACCCGGAATAGCAAGGATGGCGACGTCTAGGGCCATTGAAACACCTGCCTGTAGGGATGAGTAAGGGGGTGTACTTGTCTGTGATACTGGCAAAAGCGTACCAGGGTTATTTGACTTTTAGCTTGGCTGCTGAAGTCGTTGACAAATCGTCGAACTTCTACACCATTCACAATTCCATCAACAGAAGTGGTCTGAATGCGCTCAATAGTGACTGGCACGCACAGCACCATAGCTGCAGCATTGCCGATGAACGAAAAAAGCCTATTATTTCGAGGCCTCTCTTTCACAGCGTGCTTTCGAATCAGGCGAGCCTCAGGTTGGTTATGGCGATTGAGATATTGGTAATGGCCTATGTGCGTTAACAAATCAATGACGCCTTATGTATGAGAAGTAGCAACTTGCGTAGTATGTACAATATTCTGCCTGTTAACAAAGAGATCAGTATTTCGACCGTTTAATTTTCACAAGCACACGCACAACAGAATACAACACCGGTCTCCTCAATAGAGTCATTTTCTGCAAGGTCTTCTGTTTGTCGTCAATCAACATGCTAGTTGGACAGTGCAGACATGCATACCGATACTGGCCAGTTGATTGACAACTTGATTCATCTGGTCTAACGTCCAGAACATGGAAGCGGCGGTGGATTGACTTAAAGTCGTTGCTTCTGTGCTTGAATCGGTTATTCTGATTGTAGCTGTAGTACCACCGGGCTCACCTCCGAGATAGCAGCCCATCTCTCTCCTTATGCGTCTCACTTGTGAGGTGTTCATTCGGAAATTGTGCGGAAAGAATTCGAAATGTTTCCTGTGAAGTGGTGAGCGACAATCCAGTAAGTTCATTTTGATTAAACGACATAGTAGGTCAGCCACTCGCCAATATTGGGCCTCCAGTTCAAGTCCTGCATAATGAGCGAATGAAAACGCAATGTGAATACAACATACTTTTATGGCGCCATTTGCTTGGGTTGACACATTCTCCGAAAAGGATGTGACCATCCATATCCTCTAACCAGGTGATGATCTGGTAGTCCGGGACCACATAGTAGTATTGAAACCTCTGCTCTCCCATAAAAATAGCCGGGTACACTACCAGCACCCACCCATCTTCTTTCGCAGCCGATCGTGATGCATTGATGAAATCATCGAGCCTCTGTAGATCCTGGTAATGACCAATGTTCATCGAAGTGTAGGCATTCTAAACGTCCATTAGATGACTACATGAGTTGTACTACAAGAACGCACCTTTCTGTTGTTATAGTAATATGTACCGCCCAGTGGGTGGACAAGTTCCTGCCAATCCCTGATCATGGGGGGCCTGTAGATGGCGTTAAAGGAGATTGGCGGGAACATAGGTGACTGACGAAGAGAGATAAATCTGCCTCGGAGGGATCAGTGTATCGTCAATTTCATTATCCGTACTAAGCATGTCATTGAAATTGAATACTATCACAAGATTATATGCATACTCACAGCATGACCGCTTCAGCGTACCGGGGCAGTTGCGTCGGCCATATGCCGATGCCACGTTCCAGCAGCCCCACAGTATGATGCTGAGAGCCTGGAGTTGCCTAGTACAACACTGTACAGTGTCAGAAAGTGCTTTGTGATCGAACGCACCATGTTCTGTAACTTGCCGACAATTACTTCCAAATCGACAATTCGCTGTAGTACTTGCGGTGAGTGCTAACCAGTCTGTTCTTTCTTGATAGGCACTGTGCTACAGGGTCGGAACTTTTGTTTTCCATGGAATAGTAAGTACACACCTCGGTGTAGTGCATTCCACAAAGGGAATGGTAAATATACAAACTGAAGAGAGACGTTGACGCATACAAGGCAAGAAGTTCCCGCACTGGAAAATCGGGGATTGCCGCATCATGAATGATACCCTCGCTTTAGGTCAGTCTGCTTTGCTGACGATGTCAATTCACTCCTTAGATTTACATCCTTCGCGTCAGGTCGACCTCACCATTGACACGCGGTTGCGCTAACGTACACTGCACGGCGGCCTTTGAGGTGTCCGATTCTTCATTTAATCCACCCATCACAACGCTCCTCGTTTTTCCTGCTGTGTTCCATCAGCAAAAGTGGCAGAAGCTGACAAGGTCTCGGCAAATACTGTAAGCCTGGCGTAGAGTTCCAATATGGCTACATGCCTTACAGGCGCCATGTCACTGGGCATTGCAAGGCTCTGTCTTATAACCGCTTAGTGCTTAACATTGTCACCTATTGTCACTCGCCCATGTAGGATTGCATGCGAAAATTATCAATCCAATTAATACAACATATTTCTTCTCTTGCACTGCTGAAAGATATTCCAATGTTTGTACAGACTTTCTCTCGACGTTGCATCAACGCTACGGAGGCTACCGTGACGCATATGTTATGGATGGCCAGCATCTGGACAGCCAACATCATTCATCTCTCAGTCATTCAACCCGAAGTTCTTCTTCCGCTGTCGACTTAACTGTCACTATCACGGGCCTTGCTGGCACTTCAGCTCCTCCGAGTCCGAGTCTGTCTCCAACACTTTATCCTTCGGTGGATGGTGGTCGTTCCGTCGCTCGCAGACGAGCCAACTGGGCAAAGTTAGATGCAGGGCAGGATCCCCTACGCCAGAATCTCTCAGCAACTATGGAGGCGGCTGCCAACAGTGCCAACTCATTCTGCCAGAAATCGCTTGTTTGAGGAAGAACAGCGTGAGTTTCTGCAGCTTCCATTACATATCTCACGACTCGGTTTTAAGACCGGTGGTTTCTTATCCGCCTGCAAGCGTGCAGACAGTGCTGCGCCATCAATTGATGCATCCCAGCTGATTCCATAAGCCCACCGAACCAGTTCCTGAACCTGTGCACGGTTACTAAGCACATCCGCCGATTCAAATCAGCGAAGTGCTTTCATTACAAAATAGCCCGTCACGGGACCTCTACCTCATTTAAAATTGTGCTACATTATCAATATACACACTGGCTGAACTCAGAGGATGACACACGAGGCTTTCAAGCACGCACCTTGCAGCCGAACGTGCGAACACCACCAGGCTCAAGGCTTAACGTTTAACCTTCAGACACTCGTCATACGAACGCACATTAAATTCAGGCAAGCATCATGTAAAACATTTGTATCCTGACTGCCGCAACGTTGGTTGGGGGGCGTGAGTGCGGATCGGTTCATAAAATTTGTGATACAGCGAGTAGGTGGTATGTGAGATGCGCGGCGTCGACAAAGCAGACCTGTTGGCTTGACGCGGACTGATCGACTCGACACGGACTAGTTGAATTGATACAGGTAGCATGAAACGATGGACGATGGACGATGAACCGCGTGAAACAGAAGGAGAAAAATACAAAAAATGAAACAAAAAAAGCACGGGAACAACAGTTGCAGACAGCGAGACCAGGATGGATAGGACATATGATTGGGGTGTGGGGTAATCCGATTGGATGGTTTGCATTAGGTGATAGAAAGAGATCTGACTGGACGATAATCAATGGCGAAATCACCGGAGGTGGAGGAGAAATAACAAGACAGCGGAGTCTAGGAGCGAGGACGCCAATCAAGGAAGCGCAACCCACATGAACGCGCAGGAATGTCAGCATTTATCTTCTCGCCGCCTAGGGTATTCAAGAATTTTTCTGTTGGCCTCCGCTGTAATGGACATGTGCTTACTCCCCAACTTCCATGTCTTCCTCCTTCATGCCAGTCGAAGACGCACTGCGGTGGTCAGCTGCAGCATCAGCTGCTTCTCTCAACTCTGCATCCACATCCGCATCACCTTCGCCGTCTGCGTCTGGATCTGTGTTGGGGTCGGAGTGGGGAGAAGGAAGATGTTGCGCTGAGAGGTGTGTGTCAACTAGGGGTGATAGAATGGAGGATGTTTCACCCACCAGAGGACACCGCACCCCGTCGTCTTCGTCCAGGGTCTTCCTCGTCTGTGGTCTGGAGAGTAGCGATCGCAGGCGGGGAGGGAGGGTCGCGGTTCCGATCTCTCTCGCGGTCCTTTGCAGACCCACCACTGCGTTTCTTGTCCTGTAAAAGCACAGGCGGCACGAAAGACGCTGAGCTTGGAAAAACTTGCGACTGTGTCTGCGCCTGTCTTTGCGTCCCAGTAATCGTACCAACAGGAATGGTATCTGTACGGTGCAATCGAGCTGCACTAGCGTTGCTACTGCCAGCCACATTTGCATCGGTCGTTCCCCGCCGTTCTACCCGCTTCATTTTTTGTCTGCAACGGTCGCACACAGTACTTGGCCCTTCTGGCCCAGGCCCCCATTTTTCGACGCATTTGTTGTCTTTGTAGCGCCCTGGTAAACCACATTGGCGGCAGATGCGTTAACCGATAGAGTTAGTGGGGGGGAACGATGTTGTGGGGGGAACAGGAGGCGGAGGTACTGGTGCGATGGGAGTGACAATGGCGTTAGGAGGTGTTAGTGGGGAGCCATTGTGAGCTGGCGCTACGTCATCAACTCGAGATCCGTTTATTAAAAAGGGACGCACTGATATTTGCACTTGACCCTGGTTTGCCCTTCTTTTGGGGGGCGCCGGTAACGGGAGGGGCAAAAATATGGGTTTGATAGGTCCTGAGCTCGCCAGGCTGATCTAATGGACCTACGGGAATATTTCTTGACTGGTGGGCAGCCAAGACGGCACGAGGAGACTGTGGCTGTTGATCACGAGCATTTAAGACGCTCCTTTCGTCAGTGGCAGCGTCAAGGAGGAGATCCTCGATGTCCTGCGAAGTAGCACGAATACTAGAGTGGCTGCTAGAGCGGGAGTGAGATTTATGAGTAGGTTGAATGCTAAGGTGGTGATTGAGATGTTGAATCTGGTGAAGCTGTTGGGGGTGTGGATCCATGTCAGGGATGCGTCCGCATGACATGGAGGTAGCCTGGGGAATGTGAGGAGATAGAAAGGTGGTATGAGAGGGAACTTACCAAGAGGGGGGGCCTGTGGTCATATTCTCCACCTTCGTTACGTGGTCGTTTGGAGGGAGGTTGAGGTTGTGCGATAAGACAAGAAGGGTCATCGAAGCTGCCTGAGCGAGGACGGACGCCGCGAGTGTTGTTGATAGTTTGTTTATCGTACATCAAGTACCAGCTTACCTAATCACGCAAGTACATAGTCACATTAGAGTTACTCACACCTCAGTCCGCTACACTACGAGTACGCGACTGAGTATACACTCATTTTATCTAGCCTTCCGTTTGTTCCTGCACGTCGCAACTTCAAACAAAAGCAAGTGGATGGTGGAGGAGGGAGCGGGCCTGGAGGAAGGGCAGAAGAACTAAGTGAAGAGGAGGTGTAACGATGATAGTGGTGCCGAAGTCCGGTTCGGTTCGGTTCTTAGGCCTCTAAATGCGAACGCCGAACTGGACCATCGGTCGCGTTCAGGCAAGGAGGGCGAACGCTGGACCGGACCCTTATGAACGCGTTCACAAGCGTTCGGTTCAAGTTCAGAACGCGTTTGAACGCTCGAACGCTACATATAATTTGACAAAAATTGCAAGAAATACATGAACCGTAAATGAGTAGCTAAATTTCGTCCATGGCATAGTGTTCGTGAGCAGCAGCAAACTCAGCTTGAACCGTTGCAGAAATGTGGCCTTGACGGTACCCACTCTTCAATAACTGAAGGGCCTCGAATGTTGTTGGCAACAAACGATTACGGCGCGCAGTCCCAGTGATGCCGCCACTCGAAAAGGCTCGTTCAGATGCAACGGCAGAGCCTTGAATAGCGAGGTAATCCTTTGCAATGCGTGAGATGGTGGGATATTGAACGGAATGGTGCTAAAGGCATAATGAGTCAACTTGCAAGGAAATGCGATGCGAAAAAACTCACACCCCACCACGCCACTATATTCTCAACATCCTCTAATGGGGCAGCAAGGTAGTCGTCAAGCTCCTGGCGAGGTCTTCGATTTGCGGTGTCATTTGCGACACGAGTTTTGACAGCATCGCGCATCCAGCTATGGCCGTATGACCCATGGCGAGCAAGCGAGGCAGGAGCTGCAATAGACGGCTCTGCAGCAGCGGGCGAGGAGTTGTGATGATAATATTTGTCAAAAACCTTCCGCAAGCTTCTCATGCCCTCGTCGAAGTCGTGAGGCTCCCATTTACCCTTCGCATATGCCACCTTATAGTTAGGATCAAGCGCTACATTGTGCATTAGATAGGGCATCATAGTAAATAAAACACATACCGAGGCAAACAAAATAAACATCAGTTTCGTCAATCTTGTGGTACCATTTGCGAATATTGTCGAGGCCAGAGTTGATTGCGGATGAAAAGTCGTCAAACTTCGAAGAACTAGCCATGTTTTGCCAAGTTTGTTGGAGATACTCGAGGACTGGAATTGCGCGCCATACAGTAGGTTCACGAGTCGCCGAAAACGATTGTTGTGCATTGGCAGGTTCCTGGTTATACAGTAGGTTAATACAACATAGGTATTGAAGGAGCCGGCGAAAGGGTCCCTTGTCAACGAGTTGGAATGCCTATCTATGGCATGAACATCCTAAGTCACGATTACAAAAAAAAACACTCACCTCGTCCTCAGACACGATAAGCTCAACAATGTAATCCATTAGACCGGTCTTGGTGAATTCAGGAATTTTAGGCGTGAGGGAGGCATCTAACGTTTTCTGCAAGTCGTCGGTTGCTTTGCAGTTAGGAGGTATCGCCCGATCATGCATCTTGATACCTCGTTCTTTGCAGCGGTCGCGGTATATTGGAAAGTGACACTTCGCATTTCGAGCGATATGGGTGTGGCGAGTCGAAACACTGCCTTTGAAAAAGCACTGATTGGTGGGTACATCATTGGCTCTTGAATTGACAAAGTTAGTTATGTGTGTGACGTTCAAAGTAAAAGTAAAAACATACCTGCATATCTCGCACCACCAGCCATCTTCGGGTTCTTGGGTGTGCGGATTGATGCGTCCCTTCTCCTGAGTAAATACTACCTTCAAATCCCCACTGCGCTCCTCTTTCTTCTTATGCTTGCGATCCTCACGGTCCTTGTCTCCAAATACCTTGGTCCGCTCGTAAGCTTCCTCCCCGTCATTGTCTTCAGCCTCTTCTTCATCATCTGAACAATCCTCTAGTGCAGGAGGTTCGTCGTCATCGTCATCATGGTGACGGACCAGACGGGACCCACGTTGCACTCGCTTGGGTGCAGGCTGTCCTTGGGGAGGCGCTGGAGCCACTCGTTTGGCTGGAGTCGTGTTGCCAGCATCGCGGATTTTTTCTGTCGGTTTAACAGCTCGGCCTGAGCGAGACACAAAGGCAGTTAGCTTGCCATTGGATGCAGGAGGTGGAGGTGGAGGAAGCATGGGCGTGTCATCGTCAGGATCATTGTACCAATCGATGGCACTAGCATCCTTGAGTTGGCCGTCAGATCCAAGTGCGCACGACATTTGTGCAGCAAGGAGGGTGAAGATTGAACCTGTAGTAAGTAGCTCATTTATTCCAAATTTTATGATAAGAGATCAAAAAAATGACGCACCTTGAACATCCTGTTGCCATGCAATTACTTGGTGTTGAAGCTTGAAGTACCAGAACGAGAAACCTGAGAATATGTTCTGAAAATAAAGACCATTGAAGTCTGAATAAAGATTAACATTTGTTTAACATTAGGCTTACCAGAACATCGAGTAGATTACCAGGGAAGTCAGATCTCGCCAATGGAAATGTGTTGGGTGTTTTGGCTGCGAAGTCCGATCCGCTATTGATTGTCCCGAGATCGATCGACATGCCGGTTGCCAGAAGATCAGAGCAGATATATTGGTGGATCATGCAAAGAATATGAGAACACGTTCAGACGGGTTCGAACGGGTTCGAACGGGTTCACAGTATTCAGGCAGCAGCCGAACGCTGAACTTAATAATCAGTTCGGTCCTTATACTATTTCGAACCCAGGACCGAACCCACGGTCCGGTCCGGGAGGGTTCAGGTCCGAACCGAAGTTCAGAACCGGACTGCGGCATCACTAAACGATGATGAGATCGATTATATGAACGAGGTGGGGGTTCTACAGTGATGCTAGGATTGGCAGAATAAGGGCTATGATCATGCTGATTTTGATTGGGGATGGGGGTCAAGACAAGATGACTGCCTGCATCTCTAAGAATGTGCTGAAAGCCAGAACATGCATCTGCGGCACAGGATTCAATGGCGGCAAGGTATTTATTGAGTTCTTCGTAAGATTCGAGAACAATGCAGCACAATTAAGCAGGAATGCAAGTACAGCACAGGAAAGTAGTGGTGAAGGAAGAGTTGACGGCCCATGAGGAAGAAGGGGAAGTTATGCATGCAGTACCCGACAAAGAGAAAACCGCAGAGGGAATCATGCTTGATAACCCCAGCTAAAACAGGCCACCCGGATCAGAATGACATGAGACCGAACTGCACTAATCCTCACTATTGTCAAAACCACGGTATCCTCTCTTCGTGCACCCTTGGCAGCACTTTTTAGAGCTTCCCACAGTCTTTGAGATGGGTTTCTTGGTATGCGATAACCTATCTGCAAGACGTCCCTCCTGCAAGAACCTGCCACCCATTTCTCACACTTCAGCAACTTTCCTCTTGAGGTGTGTGGCCCTTATCCTCTGTGAACTGAAGTACACTTGTGTAGCATTTAGTGGCCCCACCATGAGTCCAGGATGTCCAGGAGGACCATTTGTGAGTGTTGGGAGGCCGTTTGGGAGGGTGGGGAGGACCATTTGGGAGGGTGGAGAGGATCCTTTGTGAGTGTTGGGAAGCCATTTGGGAGGATGGGGAGGACCGTTTGGGAGGGTGGAGAGGACCGTTTGAGAGGGTGGAGAGGACCCTTTGTGAGTGCTGGGAAGCCGTTTGGGAGGGTGGGGAGGACCATTTGAGAGGGTGGAGAGGACCCTTTGTGAATGTTGGAAGGACCGTTTGGGAGGGTGGGTAGGACCGTTTGGGAGTGTTGGGAGGGCCATTTTGGAGGGTGAAGAGGACCATTTGGGAGTGTTGGGAGGGCCATTTTGGAGGGTGAATAGGACCATTTGCGAGAGGACCATTTGCGAGTGTTGGGAGGGCTGTTTGGGAGGGTGGGTAGGACCATTTGGGAGGGTGGGGAGCATCATCTCACATGCACATTTACATATGTTCTATGTTGTAGATAGAATGTTTTTCTCGCTTTTCTCGTCATGTATCGATGATAATTTCACACATTGGTCTGAGTAATGCGCTCAATGTATTCAAGGATAATAGCAACACTGTGGTAAGTCAATCATATCAAAAGGGCAAGGTGCAAAAACTGTAAGACGATGAAGGCAATGCAGACAACTAGGTATCAAGGGACTATGAACATTGTGGTGCGATGGGCAGCAAGAGTATGGGTATGAGTAAGAAAGGAAGCAGCAAGCAAACAAGGTCTATTTGGAGGGCAACAACACCGGACAAGTATAGAAGGAGATGAGAGGACAATGATCAAGTGGAAGCAGGCGCATCAACAGGATACTCTGCTGGCTGAGTGTTCGAGCTGGAAGTTGGACAATGGTATGGGCTGCGTGAAGCCCACCTTGAGTCTCCTTGATATCCTCTTCCATAGGCCTGGTTGTCATTATAATAACTTCCGCTGCGCTGGGGAACCAATCCATGGCCACGGTCATTGTAATCATCATGCGGAGGGAATCTGTGTTCACGCATGTACCCATACTCCACTGCTGGGCTGTATCTGTCACGGTCAGAGTACCCCAGTGGGCAACTACACTCCCAATCCATGTTGTAAGTTGTGCTGGATTCTGCTACCGGAGACACGTCTTGCATAGAACCATGAGTATCCTGAAGTTCGGGGAGGTCGTTGTGAGCATTGCCAGTGCAATGGTAGAATGAGTCATGAGGACAGAGATGGTGATAATCCTGTGGCTACCAAAATATTAAGTTAAATGCCATGCAAAGAAAGGACATGTCAACTTACAGGATAAGAAGATTCATGAGTACTACGACCAAGCACATGAAGATCATGGGGTTCTTGACTAAGGCGTTCATGAGGGTTGGGCAGAGGACCACGACGGTCAAGAGGGTGAGGAGCATCCCAATGAGTAGGACTGCGAGGATCAGGAAGGAGATGACCATGAGAACCACTGAAGGGGGCATTTCTATAATCATGATGAGCATAGTTGCGAGGATCTGGACGGACATGGTTGCGAGAATCTGGACGGACATGGTCACGAGGATCTGGACAGATAGGTTCACAAGGATCGCCGACTTCAGACTCACGAGGGTGCACGTACTTGTCAAGTTGATGGTCTGTATCCATAGGGAGGTTGTCAGACTTTGGTAGGTCATGACCAGTCAAGCCGTCATCCAAGGCACCTCGGCTCACCAATCCTCCTCCTCCTCCTCCTCCTCCTCCTCCTCCATCTCCTCCTCCCCCTCCTGCCAGAGGTACTGCAGGAAGATCCACAGGTAAGGATATGCCTTGTCCCAACAGCACCGGAACTTGGGCCACATCAGTGACAGCATCATGTCAAACCACACCTGAAGTTGACAGAGACTGCAAGTGTGCAGTGGTGGTCTCCGGTGCAGCTCCTCCCTCCTTGAGAGTATCACCAGGCCCACCTGCAGGACTTGTCTCAGGGCCATCTACGCTGTGTGGAGCAAGGTTTGGGGATTTAGTGTCAGTGTTGCCAA